AAAAAAAAAAAATTCTTTCCAATTTTTTTTTCTTATTCATGTAATTTCTTGAATTTCTATACCCGCTTTGTCTTATCATCAATTTGTGCCATTTTAATTTGATTGTTCATCTTTTATTGGTTGGGCTAGACAAATGCACCCTTTAAGGCAACATTCAACAAAAAATTATTACGCCATCAATTTACTACATTTCTATAGATAGATAAATAGTTATGTGGCCATTTTGTGTATGCTTTAGTGGGCCTCTATTTTGGTAGCTCAAAAAAGGACAAAAGTCCATAGAAATTCTTCTTTTGAGAGATAATGGGCCGAATACTCCAATTTCATCCATAGAACACTTTATGGCAGCAAAATAATCTTAAGGAAAATGGCACATTGAGAAAAAAAGAAAATATGGATTAAGAAATGAGTTTATGACTTATTTTGATAGGCCTACTCGTGACGAACATTAAAGAGTACCAATTGATCAATAGACCGGTTTGAAAATTTTATCATAATAAGGGCCGATCGCAGCAAGAACCATGAGTTGCGCCTTTTCCTCTTAATTTCTTTCTTCTGTTCTTTTTATGTATCCATTTCATAGGCTCCCAACTTACATAAATTGATCGATTATTCTTCACCGTGTAATACAAATCGGGATGCAACGCATGGGTTTTGATAGTGTCAAATGACACTAATAAGGCAGAGACGGATGCGGAGCTCAGTCTGGAATTGTCGGGCGACGGATATGATTTGTTCTTTAGACTTTAGAGCCAAGAAACCTGTGGAGTCGCAGTGCCTGGGTGTGTCTCTTGTGCCAATCTCACGACTATCGCAACCCACGACTCCGATTACATGGTAAGTTTACTCGATATTTCAATCATTCTATTGTGTTCACTTCAGCGAATCAACAAAAAGTAATGTTGCACTTTCAGTTTCCACTGAAAACATCAGAATAAGCATGATCTTTTAAGGGTAAATCAGAAGCAAAAGGAAGGAGAGATGGACCCACCTCCAGGGCATCAAGAGTGGTGGGAAACATCCCACAAGTGAACCAAACTTTCCCCTCAAATAATCTCTCTCTTCCAATCTAACGGCCTCTCTGTTGGATATATGGTGGCCTTGCTGGGTGCACGCTCCATAGATGCATCTCACGTCAAGCATTTCATGTCCAGAATCTACCACTACAACCGGAAGCAGGCCATCAATCCAACCATGGACAGAGAGAACACACGGCGTCCCAGAGTCACGTGTCCCGATAAAGATTTCAATCCTACGGTGATGGCACTCAACGACGTGATGATGCAGTGCATGCTGGACAATGCGTGGTACCAGAACCTTCAGAAGGGTCTCGGGTTGTTAGCGACTAATCAGATGTTGAATTCGGGAAAGGAGACCCGAATATGGCGAGTTTGATGACTAGAGAACAGCTAGTGTTCTACAAACACTTCATCGCGGCCACGATCAAGCTGAGCAGACGGGTATCAAGACAGGGTATGATGGTGAGATTAGAAAATACTGTGGATTTTTCAATTATAATTGAGCTTTATCGTACTTGAAATGAGATTGTATCTCATGGATTTGCTTGCTTACAGCAAAATTCGTGTCTACTTATTGAGAACATCTGATTTTGTGCTTCTGCTTTCAGTTAGATTCAGCTAGTGAAAAATCATAAATGAAAAATATGTACGAGGATTTTCTCATTAGTGAAACATCATAAATCAGAAATAGATCATTCAATCATCAGATGCAAGCTACAAATTTATGTATAATGAATATCTTTGATAAGTACAATGTGCAAACAATGTGCTACAAATAATCAAATAATACCAGTATCAGCCGATCATAAATACGCAGCCAAAAGAAATTGCAGCAACACTAATTTCTACTGAGTGCTAAAAGTTAGTAGCATTTTTCAGCACCAGCTATTACAAACATTGATCAAATCATTTGATCTGTCCAATACTATTCGGATGACTCAAGCATGCAACACCCGAAGAGTGGGGGGGAGGTGTGGGGGTGTGGGACAATTGACTAATTCTGCATCTCACTCAAATGAACTAGCACCAAAACTTTGCATGGTCGCAGAAGATACTTTGAATACAACATGAACAAACAGGACAATAAGCATTAACTGGCTTTCCTAGTAGATCCACTGTTAGTCAAGCCAGAATAAAGACAACAGAGTACAAGTCCAGCCTTACCTCTTAACAGAGAGCATCTCCATCAAACTAGTCTAAGGTCAACTTTCAATGCACTTGTATCCAGCTATATCCAGGGGACTTTGAAATTCCTTTGTGAATCATATTTTGTCTCAGATGCTCAGCATTTTCCCAACTACCTGCTTCTGAATAAACCTTAAACAGCAGTACGTGAGCTGCATCATTTTCCGGGACCAATTGACATAACATTTGAGAAGCCCATTCTCCTAATTCTCTATTTCCATGTATCCTGCAACCACTAAGGAAAGATCTCCAAATACCAGGCCAAGGTGAAAAAGGCATTGTTTTAATCAAACCCTTAGCACCTTCAAGGTATCCGTTTCGCGACAGCATATCTACTAAGCAGCCGAAAACTCCTGGAGAGGGTTCCAACCCATAATCCGATTTCATTGACTCAAACAATGCACAACCTTGATCAACACACCCCATATGACCACAAGCAGAAATGACAGAGATAAAAGTAGCCTGACTAGGACATAGATTTGCCAACTTCATTTTGTGAAAGAGTTCCAAAGCTTCCGTTATGAGACCATGATGAGCATAAGCCATGATCATGGAATTGAATATAACCACGTCATCTGACCCAGATGACTGATTGAAAGCTAATCTCGCACTAGCAATGTCCCCGCACTTTGCATAAGCATCAATAATTGAACTAGCAACATATACATGTCTATCATAGCCCGTCTTGGTAGCAAGTGAATGGACAGATTTAGCTCGATCAAAAGAACTACTATCGGCACAACTGTTAAATATACTGCCGAAGATGAACTCATCGGGTTTCCCATCAGCTTCTAAAACAAAGTTCAGAGATCTAATGGCTTCACTATGGAAGCCGCTGCCATTGAAGGTTGATATCATAATACTCCAGCAGGTCAAATCTAATTTCTCAAGTGCATCAAAACATAGAAAAGCAATATCTGGACACCCGAACCTAACATAGAATTTAGCTAACGAGCAGCAAATATGATTATTTCCCGAAAGAGCCCTCTTAATTATCACTCCATGAATTTGTCTCCCCATCTTCTCGTATCCAGATTTGACACAGGTTTCTAAAATGCTGGCAAACGTAGATACATTAGTCTCCACTCCTGAACTTAATAAATTGCAGAAAACCTGGAGAGCTTCTGGATAACAACAACACAAATTGTACCCAGAAATCAATTCATTGAAATCACCAGTCCCCTTTGACAGTATGCTATCGAAAACTGAACATGCCATAAGTAACGCGTTGCATTTGGCAAACATGTTGATAAGTGAACTTGTGACATTACTGTGGTGAAAGTGTCCGAAATGCACGGCAAGACAGCAAAGCTGCAGGCCCATGTTTAAATCACATGCATTTCCACATTGCCTGAACAAGACGGAAAAAGTAACTTCAGTAGGCTTCAATCCTGCAAGCATGAATTTATGAAATAAGCCTGCAACTTTTGTCACATCCCGTTCTTCATGGAAGGCCCCAATTACTGTATTCCAGGATATAACATCTTTCTTTTGCATCCTATCAAATACGTCAAAAGCATATTTCTCCTGACTATGTTTAAGATACATATCAATGAGTGAATTCATCACTGGAATGCTAAATTGCACGTCGCTACACATGATCAGCCCATGAAGCTGTTTTCCGTAATACAAATTACCCAACAGTATGCAGCCTTTAAGGGCATTGATAAACGTAAACTCATCCATAATCACTCCCTTGGTCCTCATTGAAGACGCAAGCCTCATGGCCTCAATTCCACATCCGCACAGTACATACCCTCCTATCATAGCATTCCAACAGCCAACATCGCAATTCTCCATGTAATTAAAAATCTGCTCGGCTTCTTCAACACAACCCAACTTGGAATATAAGCTCAACATTGAACTCCCGAAAAAAGAATCCTTTTCCATCCCCAGCTTCACAGCAATACCATGAACGCACAGACCCAACTCGCAAGCCTCCGTGATGGCGCAGGCTTTCAAAACACTGCCAATAGAAAACTCGTTTGGCCGTAACCCACTCCTCATCAACGACAGAAAAACCCGGAAACCTACATCTAGCTCCCCATTACGTACCGCACCCGAGATAAGCGAAGTCCAAGAGACGACATTTCTTTGAGGCATTTCACCGAACACCTTGAGCCCGTCGCCCAAAGCCCCACACCTCGAGTACACATTGATGAGATGGTTCTGAACAAAGACGTCATCTCTGAACCCAAGCTTGACTGCCCCACAATGGGCTTGAGCTCCAACGGCCAATGCCTGTGACTCGGCGGAGATGGAGAGGAGCTTCGCAAGTGCAGCAACACGTCGCTGTCTCTGTAGCGATGCATGACCGAAATCGGAAGAACCCAACCGAAAGGCGAGGTTTTGGTGGTCGCGTGCGAATGTCGGGCGGAGTTTACGGGCGGCTTCGATGGACAGAGAAGGTTTGAGCGTCGATGGCAGAGGAGGGATTCTCATGTGACATCGTAAAGATGAGCAACAGCGTCGTGTCCTCCAAACAGAGCAAACTTTTTGGGGTTACATCAAAGCAGAAATTAATAATTCGAAATGAGGATACCCAAACAACTCACAAAGTTCGCTACTTTACTCTTTTTTTCTTTTCGAATTGCGATATTCTCAGTTTTCTTGAAACATATTTTGGAACGTACATGAAAACGACCCACAAGTAGTGGTTGGCTCAGCCCACTGCGTGATGCTGTGAATACGTGATTCGCTTGTACAATGTACGATGATGATGTTGGGAAAGTATGAAAGAAACACTTGCGCGAGACCCGTTGTTTCTCCTGGTCTTCCGCTTCTATTCACTGTCTGAATTTTCTTTCTCTCTTTTCCAAAATAAGGAAAGCTCCACTCTTTTCCGCAACCTCCACGATCTGAGTAAGTCCATCGTTCTCGATCTTTTCCTGCTTCCGATTCACCATTGGGTTTGATCGCGCGAAGCATCGCTGTTCATGATCCCGGGTTGTGTTTTTACCTTTCGAGTTCGCGGTCTGTTTGCTGGGCTTTATTCAATCTCTCCCTGTTTTCGAAAGAAGAGTAAAGTATGTCTGCGTTTCTCGAGTTACTGCAATGCGTCCTCTGCTGTGAAGAGGAAAGCGTTTATGAGTATCGCCAAGCTCAGAGAAATCTTGGGCATGACGGTCCTCCTCTTCTCGATCGAATTCGAAGCGCCTTTGGTTTATTGCCCACACATCATCATCAAGAACATGAATCTCAGCAATCAGAGACTTCACGGTCACTGCTCTGGAATACCCACGAGCCATCACCTCTCAAATTCACGCCTGTTTCCTCATCATCCTCCCCTTGCCATGTTGTTGTGCACAATCCAATGACCAGAGACCCAATCAGGCCTAGAAATGAGCCAAATCTGACCAGGACTGTTGGTGGCTCAACCCAGTCTTCTCATGTCACATCTCCTTTCAAAGCAGTCCCTTCAGCTTCTCCGAAACCATCCCCTTCTGTATCAAAGCCGTCGACCGCCTCTTCTAGGGATCCGTTTGTTTCCCCGGCCAAACCGGCGGCCGTTTCAGCTCACTCGAATCAGTATGTGTTTAAGTCATCTCCATCTTCGGATGAGCCGTCTTTATCTCGCTTGCTACATCCTTCTCTTTCGAAAACATCCTCACCAACTCCATCTCCATTCAAAGCGGTACCTTCGGCTTCTCCTAAACCATCCCCTTCTGTATCAAAGCCCTCAACCGCCACTTCTAGTGATCCATTTGTTTCGGGGACCAAACTGCCACCAATTTCCACTCACTCGAATCAAAATGTAGCAAAACTCCCTCGGCCTTCCGATGAGCCGTCTCCATCTCGTGTGCAGTCTCCTTCTTCATCGAAAACAACCTTGCATACCCCAAAGGCGCAAGAAGGTTCTGCTCAACAATATAAGCCACTCTTACATGCAGTTGCCCCACTTTCTCAAAATACGCAAAAGGAGACTGTTTATGTTCAGGAAGATACTTCCCCTATTTACAACATCCCCAAGGATATCGAAGATTTGATAAAGCGAGACACTGTGCCAGGGGTTCTCCGGAAACCACTATCTCCATCCACCTATAGGGATTATTTTGCAGCTCTTCTATATGCGGAGGACTTCTATATTGAGGTAACGATGATGCATGACCATTTAATGTTCCTATTTTGCTGTGCAAATTAATGTGTGGCGATAATGTCAGTGCCACATGTGACATTGACAGTGTGGTTACAGAGATTGAAATCCTTATCTCCATCCTCCCAATCTTTTATGATCACTTGCGATGTGAGAATGCAATCAAGTGTGGTGGATGAAGTCGGTAGCAGTAATTGTTAATTATCGTGTGTTCTCGTATAGGTTCATTGTGATAGCTGCTAGGCCACTGCAATGTCATGACCTCATTTTACAGAGAAATTTTCAGTTGCAAGACTTGACCAAATCCATGTTGACATGAAGTTGGGTGTGAAACCGGTGGAGTTTATTTCATCATAGTCATTGTGACACCCACAATATTACCGAAAACAAGCATAAGCTCCATTCTCCCAGTAAATGTAAAAGCATTTAGTTACCGCCTCAGATTGAATGGTGTTTCCAGATTTTGTGTGCGCGCTCAGATTGTGTTCGCTCCTCTTGTACAATCAATCATCCAGATGGAACGACTGCAAATGGATGGATCTAGAGGGGCGAGACAAGAGGAGACTTGTCAGAGAAAATGCAATTAGGGGAAGACTAGTTATGGAAAGAGGCTTTGACAAGTTCAAATGTGCAAATTTTGTGAGCTTGACTCATGTAGTTCTTTGTCTATGCCATGAGATGTTATGTGTAATATGGATTCTGGATCACTTTGCAAGATTGTAGATCAATGTAGCTTGGTTAACTGCTCTTGCTACGTGACAGAAACCTTTGTAAGTTACTGGCCATGCTTACTTCGGATTCCCAAAGTTGGAAATTGGCTTACGATTTTATCATTTAAACATAGCACGCAGAGTTTATCTGTCGACTTCGGAGTTTTCAGTCATCTTCAGCTGATTCATGGCAATGAAATTGAGATTTTAGTTGAAGCTTGCTGATCTGCAATATTGAGCTATTTAGCGGTGGAATGTGGACAACTTGTCTGCTTTGTTGTGCATTCCTGATTAAGAGAGAAGCCCGTTTCAGCTTGTCTAGAAACGTGCAAAATTGACCTTCAACGCTCAAGTGAGAATATGTGACTCTGATGAGGACGAAGGCCAAAAGGTGTATGAAAAGACTAAAAGATTAAATTGGAAGGTGACTACAAACAAGCCTTGAGGATCTAGGTCTTACTGAGGATTTGCTATGAAACGTAGCGCAATTGCATGAAAAGTTTAATTGCTGTTGTTTTCGTTGTCACGTCACTTACATATTCAAACTTAGAGGTTTATAGAACCAACTTGTTGATGGATAGTGACAGAGTTGTCATGCACTCATGCCCCATTTCACCATGCTTGCCATTTTCTGCAACAATGAAATGACGTGCTTTTAAGATGGAACTTTGTTTATAAATGCAACGGTCTCCAATGAAGTAGGAACTCGAGGTACTATTACTACTGTGAAGCATCATGTATTGTAGATTGAGTCATTTTTAGGTGACTATAACACTTTGAGTAGATGTAGGTGTCCCCGTGTCAATAATTCAAGATTTGTTTTATGATGGTCTAACTATCATTCTTGTATTTGAATCAGAAATGGACTGATTTCATTATTAAGGATGTCATGTTGGAGCTGGAACAATCGACTGTTTACAAGAATGCACGGGAGAATGATTGCTTCAGTGAGAAAGATTGTGTAAGTTTTGTCAAATTCAAGATGGAATCAATACCAGAGCGTCGACCATTCCTTCTATCGAGAGATTTTGTTTTTGCAAAGCCCCTCTATAAGAAAGATACACAGTATCAGGTTAGTCCCTTTCAAGTACATTTAAGATTAAATGTTAGTATTGTGCTCTGCTTGAAAATGTCATATTTCATCTCGCATCTGCTTGCTGATTGTGCTTTTGCATCTGCTTTTCCTTCATTGATTTTCTGATGATAATTGAACGGCCATATGGTGGCTCCAATTGTTCGATTATCAGTGAAATTTTTCTGATCACCGAAGCACTGGTCAAGTTGAGCGCTGAAAAATACAATGGTCTTCACGCTGGCATCACTTGATTATGATATGATTGCTGGCAATCTTGTCTCAGTGTGAAGTGTCATGGCATCCATGAAGGCATACAAATGTCTATGCTACTATCTGCGCAGTTGCATGCCCACACTGACAAGCATAAGCATGTCACTTGCAAAAACACGTCCTTGTGCGTGGAAATACACATCCATGCCTCTCTTAGAAATTGTTCTTTCCTGAGTTTGATAAAAATCCAGTTACTTTATATGTCGAATGGCTATTCGTCCATACAACATCTCAAATTCAAGGGGCTGGATTAAGGAGTGGTTTGTATTACTAGAGAAGAGGCATTTGGTTTGTATTTTTTCCATCCATATAGGCTCTTCCATTGCTATTCTTTTGCAGTGTCTAGCAGCAGTCTCAGTTAATTACTTACCTTTGATGCCTAAAACATTTAGTTGAGCTTGCTTGTACTCCTTCCCACTTCCCAGTATTAATCATCATTATCGTAAAGCAGGGTTTTGTGTATCGAGTGAAGAAGGGGTCTGTCGTCTTAGCAGAGTTTGGCGATGATTTTCACTCCCAGCATCATTCTAGCAGCAGATACAACATCAGCTTTTCTTTCAATAGAGTTTGCTTGAAGAGAGCTCATCAAGCAGTTGAAACCGCCGCCGCTGTTCCTTCGTTCCGCAACTTCCTTTTCCCCAAATGTACATTCAGACATAATTTGTTTGCCTTGCCATCTCTCTATTTTTCAAATGACGTGCTTTACTCGGAGCAGAGATCCGCAATCCGTCAGATTCTAACTCTCAAAGGTTCAGCACCATTTCTCATTGAGGGTCCTCTTTGTACACGGGGCCTAGGCCTATCAAGGACTGGAGCAGTGGTTAGGGAAGCTGTGTCGCAAGTATACCAACGCTCTAAAGATACTAGGATTCTTGTGTCTGCACCTATAAACAAAACGTGCGATATTCTGATGAGAAGCTTGAAGCAGGATATCCCAGATTCCGAAATATTTCGAGCAAATGCTGCATTCCGTGAGAAAGATGGCGTGCCTGTTGACATTCTCCCTTCATGTCTTTATAGAAAGAAAAGCGAGTGTTTCGCTTGTCCTCCCCTCCCGGAACTCCAAAGATTCAAGGTAATATTTTCGACTTTTGTGAGTAGCTTCAGGCTACACAATGAAGGCATCAACGCGGGACACTTCAGTCATATTTTCCTCGTCGATGCATCATCCACATCCGAACCAGAGGCAATGATTGTGCTAGCTAATTTGGCCAACGAGGATACAACTGTTGTAGTCACCGGCGCGCAGGGAAATCGCTCAAGGTGGGTGCGATCCCCAATTGCTCAGAAGAATGGTCTCTGGAGATCATACTTTGAGAGGCTCAAAGAATTTACACCGTACAAGAACCTCGACCCTGCATTCATCGCCCAATTGGACCCTGAGCCGGAATCAGATGAAACTAGCAGCTATTGAGTATCAGTTGCTGTTGTATATAAGCTCTGGCTACTTAACAATGCACTTGATGTGCTTTGTTTTCTCATTTCCATGTTTGAGCTGAGTTGCAAGAGAAAGGGATGAAAATTATGTTGGTATCAGTATGTATGCAATTTGCCCTTAATAAATCGAGCAGTTGGTTTTCTGTTTGTAATTCAGTTGTAAAGGTTCCTTCTACATAAATTTCACTGCTTCTCTTCTCCTACTCTCGAGTCTCATTTAAAGTAAATAGCTGTTTCCTTCGAAATTTTCTCCTCTAGTTATCCAGAAGCTGCCAGCACCTAAAGTTCGCATCTTCAAGCTGTTCGACGAAAGATCGTGATACATCTCGAGCCTTTTAGCTAGGAATTGATACTGCAACGTGGAGGAACAGGGAGATTGGATTGATTAATGGAAGATCAGAGGATGACTCTGATGGTGCAAATGCATGGCACTTAGCTCGAACCAAATCAAAGGAGCTTCTTGAACTTAGGGTTAATACCACGAAAAACCCCAAACTGATATACCTAAGATAATTTTACCCCAAACTAATTTTTTGATCACAAAAAATCCCAAATTGGTACACTTGTGATAAATTTACTTTCAGTTTGCTTTTGTTAAATTTTATTATCAAATTACTTTGTTAAATGACACGTGGCAGTTGACTTATGTACCGGTTTTTTGTTTTACCTTCCGTTTGTCACAGGTGTACCAGTTTGTGATTTTTTGTGGTATTAATCCAATTTAACGAAAACTGATGAATGGTAAATTTACCAGTTTTGGGTTTTTAGTGGTAAAAAAATTAGTTTGGGGTAAATTTGTTATAGATGTATCAGTTTCAGGTTTTTGGTAGTATTAACTCTTTAACTTATAATGCGACATACAATCAACTCGTGTTAATTTCGACTGACAAGGACAAAAGGTTTAAATCAAAGGCCACTGTCTGTTCCTCTCTTGAGAAAAGTTACCAGTATCAGCTCCAACACTCCCGTATTGAATTGGAGATGTAAATAACAGGGAGGATAACCGGAAAAATGCTAAAATACACCAGAAAAATTAACAAAAGAAAAACATCCCAACGGAAATCACGAATTATTTTCGGACACCTAACCAGTTCTAAAAAGAATGACGCAGCATGAGCCGTAAATATATTTTTTTGGTCGAAATGAGCCATAGAAATATTAAGAGCTGATATCCATACTGCTTCAGCCTTTTTTTTTTTTAAAACCTTGAATGAGTTCAATCACGGTCATATGCACTAAAACTTCTGGGTTCACAAAGGGAATAACCTTTGATCAAAGACATATATGACTAGCATCACCAGATGCATGCTACATTGTCCAAGAAGCAGTTTCCCTGAGGCAAAATTGCGATACGATGATCTGCATAATGACATGTTGTCAATAGGGTCTAACTCGTTGGAGATGATTGCTTCAGCTTTGCTGGCAAGATTGCCCCGGCTTCATCTGCTGTGCTTTTCTTCTTTCACACTACCTGCGATATCATTTTATGCAAATGCTCAACAGAGAAAGCACATAAATGAATAGAACAATCGATAAGTATTTCCATCGAGCAAATGCAATCAGAAGCATCATTCGCGCAGTTTGAGCAAATCATTGTTCCCTTCCAATCTTGCCACATGAGGCTCCTGCAAAGCATTTCCAGGGATAAAAAGATTAGGACATACATGTACATGTAGACAGGATACGCATGAAAGTACAAAGAGGATGGCCTTAGCTGTAGAGCTGGTATCTGCCCCCCCTCCCCTTAAGACATGCACACTGCTGTTCTGAGCATTCACAGCCAAGTGAAATGGGCAAGATCTAATGGAAAAGATAGGCCTTTAAAGGATGCAATCGTTAGTTGCCAGGATCAAGATCCAATACACAGAAAAAGAGTGAGAAACGAAAAAAACCTTAAAGAAAGAACTAATTCCATCTTGTCTACTCTACTATATCAACCATCTAAAACTTGAGTGTCGATGCCACAGAAGGTTCGAGTGTCGATGGCAGAGAAGAGATTCTCAAGTGACATCGTACAATGAGCAACAGTGTCGCGTTTTCTAAACAGAGCAAAATTTTTGGAGTAGAAGAGAAAATTTCAAACAAGAATATGAAGTTTGGTCATTTTCTTCTACTTTCTTCTTTTTCTTCTCTTTCTTTATCAGGGAAAAATTTTAAAAAGAGCCTGAACTGAGAGTTTTTTTTTTAAAATAAAAAAATAGTTCGAAGTTGACATTATCTCAACTAAGGTCCTAAAAGTCTTTTTCAAATAAGATCACAACCTTACTTACTAGTCAAATCTTAATATGGCCAGGGGCATTATCGTCCAAAAGTCTTTTTCTTTCCTTTTCTTTCTCCTTCGCTCCCTCTCCCGTCTCAACCGCGGCTTCCCCCCAAGAGCGCCTTCGACGTGCTCATCACTTGTGTTTGTTGTCTCAACCGCCTTGGCGAAGCCGTGCGCATTGGCTTTGACCTCAAGGCCGTGACGCCGGAATTCCATCCGTAGCGGCCACATTCAAGCCTCGGTCGACAGAGTCCGCCTCAACGCATTCCGAGCGGTAGCCTAAAAGAGGAAAAAGTAAGCGCCTCGATCTTGGGCTAGTGGATAATTCCTGATTGTGGTGGGATGGAGATCATAACGGGACAAGTTGGTTTCTTTTCCTCATGGATCAAAAGACTTGCCTGTTCTCTCTCTTTTCTCGGTTGTCAATTTCCTCATCCTCTCCATTCATTTAATTTTACCATCCACAATGCACGATCTCATCTCATCTGTTATAATAATTAAATATCAAATCACGTATTCATCTAACAGTTTAATTTTTTAGAATAGTTGGCAGCGGTCCTATAAAACTATATCATCGAATGCCTCGAGCGATCTTTGTTCTTCGGACGCGTGTGCTGTGTCTTCCGCAAATTGGCGTAGTCAGAGCTAGTCACCGCGGAGGCAACATTTCTTCTAATTCTTGAACCAACCGAGGGAACGCCACCTTTCGATTCGCTCACTCGTACAAGCAATATGTATTAGCTGTCTTTCTATTGAAACCTTTGTTTCTTTTTCAGTCGTGATCAGTAATGATTGTGGATTGAAGAAATTTGTGGTTTCGCAGGGACGAAAGGTGATGATTCGGGGTAGTTAAAAAATGGGGAAAAATGTCATAAAAATCATAAACCTTTTACGTTGATGTCAATTTAATCATAAACCATTTTTTAGTGCTAATTTAGTCTTAAACCTTTTATCTTTATATCAATTCAGTACTAATTTTAGTCGGATTTTACTGACGTGGACACTAGCCGATCTACATGGCACCGCCGACGATGACCTGGACAACTTTCAATAATATTTTGATATTTTTCAAAAAAAATTTCTTTTCTTTTTCTTTCTTTTCTTTTTCTTTTTTTACTTTACCTCCTTTCTTCCTCCAGCTGGTCGCCGGATCGGCAACCGGCTGGAGGCCTCACCGGCCACTGGTGAGGCTCACCGCCCTCGCCAGCGATGGCGAAGGTGAGCCTTGCGCTGGGCTGGGCGAGGCACGACCTCGCCGGATTTGGCGAGGTCGGGTCTCACCCACGGCCAGCGAGGCTCGACCTCGCCAGATCCAGCGAGGTCGTGCCTCGCCCAGCCTAGCGCGAGGCTCGAGGCCTCGCCGTATGGCCGCGAGGGCGGCCAAGGGGTCTCGGAGGACCGCGATTGGCATGGCATGGCTGAGAGGAAGACTGGTTCCAAGAGACTTTGCCGTCGCTCCCCACACTCACCTTGAGTCCCGAGACCACCAGCTCGAGGTACTAGAGATCGGGCTTCTTCTGCCATAGCACGAACACGCCGACCTCACGTTGGGCTGGGCAAGGCTCGCCCTCACCAGATCTGGCGAGGTCGAGCCTCGTCGGCCATGGGTGAGGCTCGACTTTGCCAGATCCGGCGAGGTCATGCCTCGCCCAACCACTGGCAAGAGCGAGCCTCGCCAGTGGCAGGTGGGGCTCGCAGGAGGCCGACGAGGTCCCTCGCCGGCCCTGGCCACTAGCAACTGGTTGGCGGAAGAAGAGAGGTAAAGAAAAAAAATAAAAAATAAAAAATAAAAAATTTGAAAAATATTAAAATATTATTAAAAGTCGTCAACATCATCGCCGGCGGTGCCACGTAGGCCGGCTGGCATTCACATCAGGAAAATCCAGCTAAAATTAATCGGAAGGATTGAATTGCATAAAGACAAAACGTTTAGAACTGAATTGGCACCAATAAAAGGTTTATGACTAAATTGGCACCAATGCAAAAGGTTTATGACTTTTCTAACACTTTTCCCTTCAAAAATGGCGATGCTTAATTTTTATGGGGTGAATTTCAAATATTCATTTTTTTTTAAATCGACACAAATGGTCCTTGAACTTTGGACCGGTGTGCAATGTGGTCAATGAAATTTTGATATATATTTAATCTAGTCCCTAGACTACATGAAAATGTTCAATATTATTCCTGAACTTGAACTAATGAAAGGATAACATTAAACATTTCATATAGTTCAAGGACTAATTTGAACATGTACCAAAAGTCTGGGGATTACATTGAACAAATTAAAAGTTCAACGACCACATTACATATTAGGCTAAAATTCAAGGACTATTTGTGCCATTATTTTTCTTTCTTTCTTTCTTTCTTCTTCTTCTCTTTTTTTTTTTTTCCGTTAGCTTGTTCTTAGCGAGCTTTTAGTAAATGGGTTCCACATGTGTTTGCTGTTCAAGTGTTTATCTGAGCTTGGGTTTCACCGCCATGGGTAAGCTGTCTCGTTTTTTATTGGGTTGCCGAAAGTTCATTTTAGCGAAAAGAAGAAAGGAAAAGGATGTGCGGTGAGGCTGCAGGAGGAAGAAGGGAAAAAAAAAGAGAGAAAAGAAAACATATAGGAAAAGAGAGAAAGAAGAAAGTAAGAGAAAGAGAAAAAGAAAGAGAAAGAAAAATAAAACAAAAAAAATTTGATCGACAGATAAATTTAAGGACTTATTTGAGATTAAGTTTGCCTATTCAGACCCTTAATCGAGATTAAATTTGTCGCTTCATGGCTTTATTTAAGATAATATCCATTTTAGATCATCTTTTAAGAAAATTGTTGAATTTGAGGCTTTTACTTGATAATTTTCTCGATTTTGTGGTAATTTTAGTTTTCTTGGTAATTATAAAAAAACATATTTTGGAAGGGCCGATTCCAAAACAAAAGTACCAACTTTGCCTATAACAATTATGACCCGAACTTTTTTTTACTCAATAAAAAGCACCAACTTTTACTTGAATCCCAAATTTAGCTCCAGTGATGTAAAATTTTTAAATTGTTCAGGTCAGATTTAAGATTTAAGTGAAAGTTAGTGATCTTTCGTGAGACAAAAAAAAGTTTGGCTCAAAATTATGACTCGGTTCATGTTTTTTTTTTTGTTTTTTTGTAATTAGGCCTATTTTGGAATGTCCGGGAAAACGACCCATGCGTAGTAGGCTGAAGGCTCAGCCCACTGCATGATGATGTACGATGATGATGTTGGGAAAGTTTAAAAGAAAGACTTGCGCGAGACCCGTTGTTTCTCCTGGCCTGCCGCTTTTCTTCACTGTCTGAATTGCTTTCTTTCCCTTATGAACTAAGAAAAGCTCCACTCTTTTCCACAACCTCCACGATCCGTGTAAATCCATCGCTCTTGATGTTTTCCTGCTTCCGATTCACCCATTGGGTTTGATCGCACGAAGCATCACAGTTCACGATTCATGATCATGGGTCGTGTTTTTACCTTTCGAGTTCGCGCCTGTCTGCTGAGCTTTATTCAATCTCTCCCTGTTTTTGAAAGAAGAGTGTAGTATGTCTGCGTTTCTCGGGTTACTGCAATGCGTCCTCTGCTGTGAAGAGGAAGACGTTTATGAGTATCGCCAAGCTCAGAGAAATCTTGGGCATGGTGGTACTCCTCTTCTCGATCGAATTCGAAGCGCCTTTGGTTTGTTGCCCACACATCATCGTCATCAAGAACATGAATCGCAGTCAGAGACTTCACGGTCGCTGCGCTGGAATACCCACAAGCCATCACCTCTCAAATTCACGCCTCCTTCCTCATCATCCTCCCCTTGCCATGTTGTTGTGCACAATCCAATGACCAGAGAACCAATCAGGCCTAAAAATGAACCAAATTTGACCAGGAATGTTAGTGGCTCAACCCAGTCTTCTCATGTCACATGTCCTTTTAAAGCAGTCCCTTCGGCTTCTCCGAAACCATCCCCTTCTGTATCAAAGCCATCAACCGCCACTTCCAGTGATCCGTTTGTTTCCCCGGCTAAAGCGGTCATTTCGGCTCACAAGAATCAGTATGTGTCCAAGTCATCTCAATCTTCGAATGAGCCATCTTTATCTCGCTTGGTACATCCTTCTCTTTTGAAAACATCCTCGCCAACTCCATCTCCTTTCAAAGCAGACCCTTCGGCTTCTCCTAAACCATCCCCTTCTGTATCAAAGCCGTCAACCGCCACTTTTAGTGATCTGTTTGTTTCTTTTGCCAAACCGGCGGCCATTTCGGCTCACTCGAATCAGTATGTGTCCAAGTCATCTCAATCTTCGGATGAGCCGTCTTTATCTCGCTTGCTACATCCTTCTCTTTCGAAAACATCCTCACCAACTCCATCTCCATTCAAAGCAGTCCCTTCGGCTTCTCCCCAACCATCACCTTCAGTATCAAAGCCGTCAACCGCCACTTCTAGAGATCCATTTGTTTCGGGGACCAAACCGCCACAAATTTCCACTCAATCGAATCAGAATGTTGCAAAACTGCCTCGGCCTTCCGATGAGCCGTCTTCATCTCGTGTGCAGTCTCCTTCTTTGTCGAAAACAACCTCTCCTACCCCAAAAGCGCAGGAACGTTCTGCTCAACAATATAAGCCACTCTTACATGCAGTTTGCACACTTTCGCAAAATACGCCAAAGAAAACTGTTTATGTCCAGGAAGATACTTCCGCTATTTACAACATCCCCAAGGATATCGAAGATTTGATAAAGCGGGACATTGTGCCAGGGGTTCTCCGGAAACCACTATCTCCATCGACCTATAGGGATTATTTTGCAGCTCTTCTTTATGCGGAGGACTTCTATATTGAGGTAACGACGATGCATGACCATTTAATGTTCCTATTTTTCTGTGCAATTTAATGTGTGGCGATAATGTCAGTGCCACGTGTGACATTGACAGTGTGGTTAGAGAGATTGAAATCCTCATCTCCATCCTCCCAATCTTTTATGATCACTTGCGATGTGAGAATGCAATCAAGTGTGGTGGATGAAGTCGGTAGCAGTAATTGTTAATTATCGGGTGTTCTCGTATAGGTTCATTGTGATAGCTGATAGCCAACTGCATTGTCATGACCTCATTTTACAGAGAAATTTTCAGTTGCAAGACTAGGCCAAATCCATGTTGACACGGAGTTGGGTGGTAAATTGATGGAATTTATTTCATCATAGTCGTAGTGACACCCACAATATTACCCAAAACAAGCATAGGCTCCATTCTCCCAAGAACTTATAACCATTTACTTATCACCTCAGGCTGAATGGTGTTTTAAGATTTTATGTGTGCGCTCAGAATGTGTTCAATCCTCTTGTACAATCAATCATCCAAATGGAACGACTGCAAATGGATGGATCTAGAGAGGTGAGAGAAGAGGAGAAGTGTCAGAGAAAATGTGCAAATTTTGATGTTATGAGTATCACGGATTCTGGATCACTTTGCAAGATTTTAGATCAATGTAGCTTGGTTAGCTGCTCTTACTATGTGGCAGAAACCTTCATAAGTTACTGGCCATGCTTGCTTCGGATTCCTAAAGTTGGAACTTATGATTTTGTCATTTCAACGTAGGATGCTGAGTTTCTCTGTTGCCTTCTGAGTTTTCAGCAATCTTTAGCTGATGCGTGGCCATGGAATTGAGATTTTAGTTGAAGCTTGTTGATCTGCAATATTGGGCTATTTAGCGGTGGATTGTGGACAACTTGTCTTCTTCGTCGTGCATTCCTGATTAAGAGAGAAGCTCGTTTCAGCTTGTCTAAAAATGTGCAAAAGTGACCTTCAATACTCAAGTGACGAGATGTGAGTATGTGACTCTGATGAGGACGAAGGTTAAAACGGGTATAAAAAGACTAAAAGATTAAATAGGTGACTACCAACAAGCCTTGAGGATCTAGGTCTTACTGAGTATTTGCTATGAAATGTAACACAATGGCATGAAAATTTTGATTGCTGTTGTTTTTGTCGTTATGTCAGTTACAAGTTCAAACTTCGAGGTTGATAGAACCAACCTGTTGATGGATAATGACAGAGTTGTCACGCACTCATGCCCCATTTCACCATGCTTGCTATTTTCTGAAACAATGAAATGACCTGCTTTTAAGATGGAACTTTGGTTATACATGCAACAGTCTCCGATGAAGTAGGAATTCAAGGTACTTTGACTACTCCGAAGCATCTTGTATTGTAGATTGAGTCATTTTAAGGTGACTATAACAACACTTTTGAGTAGATGTAGGTGTCCTCCCTGTGAATAATTCAAGATTTGTTTTTATGATGGTCTAACAATCATTCTTGTATTTGAATCAGAAATGGACTGATTTCATTCTGAAGGATGTCACTTTGGAGCTGCATCAATCGATTATTAACAAGAATATAGGGGACAATGATTTCTCCAGGGAGAAAGTTTGTGTAACTTTTGTCAAATTCAAGATGGAATCTATACCAGAACGTCGACCCTTCCTTCTATCGAGAGATTTTGTTTTTGCAAAGCCCCTCAATAAGAAAGATACACAGTATCAGGTTAGTCCCTTTCAAGTGCATTTAAGCTTAAATTAATAAGATGTTAGTATTGTGCTCTGTTTGAAAATGTCATATTTCATCTCGCATCTGCTTGCAGATTGTGCTTTTGCATCTGCTTTTCCTTCATTGATTTACTTTCGATGATAAAAGAACCGCCATATGGAGGCTCCAAATGTTCGATTATCAGTGAAATTTTTCTGATCACCGAAGCACTGGTCAAGTTGAGCGCTGAAAAATACAGCGGTCTTCACGCTGGCATCACTTGATTATGATAAGATTGCTAGCAATCTTGTTTCGGTGTGAAGTGTCATGGCATCCATGAAGGCATACAAATGTTGACGCTACAATCTGCACAGATGCATGCCCACATTGACAAGCATAAGCATGTCACTTGCAAAAACATGCCCTCACGCATGGGAATGCACATCCATGCCTCTCTTAGAAATTGGTCTTTCCTGAGTTTGATCAAAATCCCGTTACTTTATATGTCGAATGACTATTCATCCGCGCATCATCTCAAATTCAAGGGGCTGGAATAAGGAGTGGCTTGTATTACTAGAGAAGAGGCATTTGGTTCGTATTGTTTCCATGCATTGCTATTCTTTTGCATTGTCTAGCAGCAATCTCAGTTAATTACTTTCCTTTGATGCCTAAAACGTTTAGTTGAGTTTGCTTGTACTCCTTTCCTGTATTAATCATCTTTTTCGTAAAGCAGGGTTTAGTATATCGAGTGGAGAAAAGGTCTGTTGTCTTAGCAGAGTTTGGAGATGATTTTCACTCCCGGCATCATTCAAGCAGCAGATACAACATCGGCTTTTCTTTCAATAGAGTTTGCTTGAAGAGAGCTCATCAAGCAGTTGAAGCCGCCGCTGATTCTTCGTTCGGCAACTTCCTTTTCCCCAAATGTACATTCAGACGTAATTTGTTTGCCTTGCCATCTCTCTATTTTTCAAATGACGTGCTTTACTCGGACCAGAGATCCGCAATCCGTCAGATTCTAACTCTCAAAGGTTCAGCACCATTTCTCATTGAGGGTCCTCTTTGTACGCGGGGCCTAAGCCTATCAAGGGCTGGAGTAGTGGTTAGGGAAGCTGTGTCGCGAGTATACCGATGCTCTAAAGATCCTAAGATTCTTGTGGCTGCACCTATAAACAAAACGTGCGATGTTCTGATGAGAAGCTTGAAGAAGGAAATCCCAGATTCTGAAATATTTCGAGCAAATGCTGCTTTCCGTGAGTACGATGGCGTGCCTGATGACATTCTCCCTTCGTGTCTTTATAAAAGGAAAAGTGAGTGTTTCGCTTGTCCTCCCCTCCAGGAACTTAAAAGATTCAAGGTAATTTTTTCGACTTTTGTGAGTAGCTTCAGGCTACACAATGAAGGCATCAACGCGGGACACTTCAGTCATATTTTCCTCGTCGATGCATCATCCACTTCCGAGCCAGAGGCAATGATTGTGCTAGCTAATTTGGCCAACGAGGATACAACTGTTGTAGTCACTGGTGCGCAGGGAAATCGCTCAGGGTGGGTGCGATCCCCAATTGCTCAGAAGAATGGTCTCCGGATATCATACTTTGAGAGGCTCAAAGAATTTAGACCGTACAAGAACCTCGACCCTGCATTCATTGCCCGATTGGACCCTGAGCCGGAATCAGACGAAACTAACAGCTATTGAGTATCAGTTGATGTTGGATACAAGCTCAATAATGCTCTTGATGTGCTTTGTTTTCTCATTTCCATGTTTGAGCTGAGTTGCATGAGAAAGGGACAAAAATTATGTAGGTATGAGTATGTACACAATTTGCCCTTAATAAATCGAAGCAGGTTGGTTTTCTGTTTGTAATTCAGTTGTAAAGGTTCCTTTTACGTAAATTTCACAGCTTCTCTTCTCCTATTCTCGATTATCATTTAAAGAAAATAGCCGTTTCCTTCGAAATTTTCTCCTTTAGTTCTCCAGAAGCTGCCAGCACCTAAAGTTCGCATCTTCAAGTTGTTTGACGAAAGACAGCAATGCATGTCTCGGGCCCTATAGCTAGGAATTGATACTGCAATGTGGAGGAACAGGGTGATTGGATTGATTAATGGAAGATAACGGGATGATTCTGATGGCGCAAATGCACGGCACTTGGCTCGAACCAAATCAAAGGAGCTCCTTTAACTTATAGTGCGACATACAATCAAGTCTCGTGTTAATTTCGAGTGACCAGGACAAAAGATCTAAATCAAAGGCCACTGTCTGTTCCTCTCTTGAGAAAGTTACTAGTATCAGCTCCAACACTCCCGTACTGAATTGGAGATCTAAATAACAGGGAGGATAACCGGAAAAATGCTAAAAGACACCAGAAAAATTAACAAAAGAAAAACATCCTAAGGAAAATCACGAATGATTTTCGGACATCAACCGCTTCTAAATAAGAATGACACAGGATGAGCCATAAGAATGATGCAGCACGAGCCGTAGATACATATTTTTTGGTTGAAATGAGCCATGGAAATTTGAACAGCTGATATCCCACATTAAGGCCTCTGCTTCAGCCCTTTTCTTTTAGGGAAAAAACCACCAAAAACCCCAAACTTTCCCGCTTGTGACACATTTACCCCGAACTTTTTTTTGTGACACCAAAAACCCCAAACTTTGTTATTTGTGACACATTTACCCCGATATACATTGTCCATGGGCATTTTCGTCTTTTAGCTTTTTCTTTTTCTTTTACTTTTTTTTTTTCCGCGAGGGCCCTCGCCGCGTCGCGAGGCTCGCCCTCGCTCGCCCGGGCGAGGCGAGCCCGCCCGACGCCGGCGAGGCTCGCCCTCGCTGGGCGAGCGAGGCGAGCCTCGCCGGCGCCGGGCGAGCCTCGCCCTCGCTCGCCCGGCGAGGGCGAGGCTCGCCGGCGTCGGGCGAGCCTCGCCCTCGCCCGGGCGAGGAGGGTGAGGAGGGCGAGGCTCGCCGGCGTCGGGCGAGGCTCGCCGGCGTCGGGCGAGCCTCGCCCCGGCTCCGGGCGAGCGAGGGCGAGGCTCGCCGGCGTCGGGCGAGCCTCGCCCGGCCCGGACGAGCGAGGGCGAGGCTCGCCGGCGTCGGGCGAGCCTCGCCCCGGCTCCGGGCGAGCGAGGGCGAGGCTCGCGCGCCGGCGAGGCTCGCCTCGCTCGCCCGGCGAGGGCGAGCCTCGCCGGCGTCGGGCGGGGCTCGCCCTTGCTCGGGCGAGCGAGGGCGAGCCTCGCTCGACGCGCGGCGAGGGCGGCCCTCGCCGATCCGGCGAGGGGGGCCCTCGCCGGAAAGAAAAAAAAAAGTAAAAAGAAAAAGAAAAAGCTAAAAAGACGAAAATGCCCATGGACAATGTATATCGGGGTAAATGTGTCACAAATAACAAAGTTTGGGGTTTTTGGTGTCACAAAAAAAAGTTCGGGGTAAATGTATCACAGGTGGGAAAGTTTGGGGTTTTTGGCGATTTTTTCCCTTTCTTTTACCTCGAATGACTTCAATCACTGTCCTAATGCACTAAAACTTCTGGGATAACCTTTGACCAAAGACATGAGCAGTTTTCTCCCGGCATAATCGGGATTCGCTGATATGCATGAATGACATGTTGTCAATCGGGCCTAACTTGTCAGAGATGATTGCTTCAACTTTGCCGGCAAGATTGCCCCGGCTTCACCTGCTATGCTTTTCTTCTTTGATGCAACCTGCCATGTCATTTTACGCCACAAAAACAGTCAAAGGAATACTCAGCAGAGAAAGAGCATAAACGAACGAAACGAATCGATAAGTAATTGCATCAAGCAAATGCAATCAGAAGCATCGTTCCCGCAGCTTAACCTAATCATTGATCCCTTGCAATTTTACCACATGAGGCTCCTGCAAGGCATTTCCATGTATAAAAGCATAGGACATACATGTACATGTAGACAAAATACACCGGAAAGTACAAAGAGCATGGCGTTAGCTATAGTGCTGATTTTCCCATGATTTTTTTCCGTGCAATATTTTACAACATGCAAAGGACAATAAATTAAAAGAATAAAAAGCAGGGATAACAATAAAATGAAATATATATATATATATATAATATATATATGAGAGTAAATTAAAAGAATGAAAAAATCATGGGAAAATCATCAAAACGGGACCCATCACTTTTTCACTATTCCTATATCATTCATTTCAATATATAAATTTTCACTTCTACATTACACATATTGTAATGACAACAAACCATCATAACTAAATATAAAACATCGTAAAATGTTGGCAAAATTATTTTCAGAGATTACGACGTGTTATTATATCAAGTAAAAAAAATATCGCAAAAATACATAGTTGCACGTACATAGATATAATTTAGAAGTATTTTACACAAAAATATATATCTTCTTTGATTTCAATTACATATTCAATGAATCCTGATTTATTTTTGAATTGATGTCATTACTGGTCCTTTGGAAGACATTATAGTGGCACTCTCTAAGACGATGCCCGTAACCATCGCCGGTGGCCATGGCAAATCGCTCTCTTCGTCGATGGCCTCACCGTCGATGGAGCGGTGGTGGGGAGGGCCAACAACATAAACTACACCTAAATTATATGCAATCCTCTTTAATTTCTTTCTAATTAAATTAGCGTGTCTTCTTTAAACTCGATGAGTTCCAAAATAAACTAACAAGCTGTGTTTGAAGTAGCCTCATAGCATTTATATTATTCACATAATTAAATCTTTTCCTTCTTAATTTTGTTTCAAATTAATTATAAGAGTTTCTATCGTTAATTAAGACGGCGAATAACTTATCTTTATCCATTTCTTAAATTAAGAGCAGACTAAAATTGAGGAATGACCAATCACTAAAACAATACTTATCGATCAAATGTATACCGTGCGACAAATAATGTAATGTAATAAAATATAATGATAGATAGATAGATAGATAGATAATGCTATTATTCTAACAGTAATGCAAATACTTTTATACTAGCAAAAGCTAAAGCTTTGTTAGCGTTGGAATCCAACACCCAGTGGGGGCCACTAAAAGTCAGTCCGAGGAAGCTTTGCAGCGAAGACAACTGCTTCTGTTGGTCTTCCCCTGCTCTCCACTTAACTGTCTGAAAGAGCAAGTTCCAAGAAAGGTTTCAACTCTATTCTGCAACCTCCGAAAGTAAAGTCCATCGTTCTTGATCTTTCCCTTCTTCCGATTCGCCGTCTGAATCTGATCACGCATCGATATCATGGAAATGGGGTCGTGAGTTTCCTTTCCAATTCGCCTCTGTTCGACCTTTTCACCGTGTTTGTTCGAAGAAGAGGAAAGAATGAGCGCTCTTTTCGAACTGCTTCGTCGCATCCTCGGTTTTAAGGAAGAAGATGGTGATCACCATCGTCATGGGAATGAACCAGAAGGAACGAACCATTCGCAATCCTTAGACCCGATCAGGCCAACAAGTGAGCAAAATTTGGGCAGGACTGCTGGTGGCTTAACTCAGTCTTCTCATGTCACATATCCTTTCAAAGCAGTCCCTTCGGGTTCTCCGAAACCATCCCCTTCTGTATCAAAGCCGTCAACCGCCACTTCTGGTGATCCATTTGTTTCGGGGACCAAACCGCCATCAATTTCTGCTCACACGAATCAGATTATAGCAAAACTGCCTCGGCCTTCCCATGAGCCGTCTTCATCTCGTGTGCAGTCTCCTTATTCATCGAAAGCAACCTCGCATACCCCAGAAGCGCAAGAGCGTTCTGCTAGACAATATAAGCTAGTCTTACGTGCAGTTTCCCCAGTTTCGCCGAATCAGCAAAAGGAGACTGTTTATGTTCAGAAAGATACTTCCCCTGTTTACAACATCCCCAAAGATATTGAAGATTTGATGAAGCGAGGCATTGTGCCAGGGGTTCTCCAGAAACCACTATCTCCATCTACATATAGGGATTATTTTGCAGCTCTTCTATATGCGGAGGACTTCTACATTGAGGTAACGACGATGAATGACCATTTAATGTTCCTATTTTTCTGCGCAAATTAACGTGGGGCAATAATGTCAGTGTCACTTGTGACAGTAACAGCGTGGTTAGAGAGATTGAAATCCTTATCTCCATCCTCCTAATCTTTTATGATCTCTTGGGAAGGAGAATGCAATCAAGTTTGGTGGATGAAGTTGGTAGCAGTAATTGTTAACTATCGTGTGTTCTCGTATAGGTTCATTATGATAGCTGCTAGCCCAATGCAATGTCGTGACCTCATTTTACAGAGAAATTTTGAGTTGCAAGACTTGGCCAAATCCATGTTGACATGGAGTTGGTTGTGAAACCGGTGGAGTTTATTTCAACATAGTCATAGTGACACCCACAATATTACCCAAAACAAGCATGGGCTTCATTCTCCCAAGGATGTGTAAGCATTTACTTACCGCCTTGGGCTGAATGGTGTTTCCAGATTTTGTGTGCTCGCTCAGAATGTGTTCGCTCCTCTTGTACAATCAATCATCCAAATGGTAACGACTGCAAATAAATGGATCTAGAGAGGCGAGAGAAGAGATGTGTCAGAGAAAATGCAATAAGGGGAAAACTTGTTACGGAAAGAGGCATTGACAAGCTCAAATGTGCAAATTATGAGAGCTTGACTCGTGCAGTTCTGTGTCTATTCCGTGACATGTTATGAGAATCACGGATTCTGGATCATTTTGCAATATTTTTTTTATCAATGTAACTTGGTTAAGTGCTCTTACTATGCAACAGAAACCTTCATAAATTACTGGTCATGCTTAGTTCGGATTCCCGAGTTGAAAATCGGCTTATGTTTTTATCATTTAAACATAGCATGCTGAGTTTCTCTGTTGAATTCTGAGTTTAAGTAATCTTCAGCTGATTCGTGGCCATGGAATTGAGATTTTAGTTGAAGCTTGTTGATCTGCAATATTGGGCTATTTAGCGGTGGAGTGTGGACAACTTGTCTGCTTCATCGTGCATTCCTGATTAAGAGAGAAGCTCGTTTCAGCTTATCTAGAAACGTGCGAAAGTGACCTTAACACTCAAGTGAGGAGATGTGACTCTGATGAGGGCGAAGGTTAAAAGGGGTATAAAAAGACTAAAAGATTAAATCGGAAGGTGACTACAAACAAGGCTTGAGGATCTAGGTCTTACTGAGGATTTGCTATGAAATCTAGCGCAAAGGCATGAAAAGTTTAATTGCTGTTGTTTTTGTGATCATGTCACTTACATATTCAAACTTCGAGGTTGATAGAACCAACTTGCTGAAGGATAATGACAGAGTTGTCAAGCACTCATGCCCCATTTCACCATGCTTGCTATTTTCTGCAACAATGAAATGACCTGCTTTTAAGATGGAACTTTGGTTATAAATGCAACAGTCTCCAATGAAGTAGGAATTCGAGGTACTTTTACCGCTGTGAAGCATCATGTATTGAAGATTGATTTATTTTAATGTGACTATAACACTTTGAGTAGACGTAGGTGTCCCCCAGTGAATAATTCAAGATTTGTTTTTATGATGGTCTAACAATAATTCATGTATTTGAATCAGAAATGGACTGATTTCATTCTGAAGGATGTCACTTTGGAGCTGCATCAATTGACTATTGACAAGAACATAGGGGACCATGATTTCTCCAGGGAGAAAGTTTGTGTAACTTTTGTCAAATTCAAGATGGATTCTATACCTGAGCGTCGACCCTTCCTTCTATCCAGGGATTTTGTTTTTGCAAAGCCCCTGGACAAGCGAGAGACACAATTTCAGGTTTGTCCTTTTCAAGTACATTTAAGATTAAATTAAGATGTTCGTATTGTGCTTCGTTTAAAAATGTCATATTTCATCTCCCATCTGCTTGCTGATTGTGCTTTTGCATCTGCTTTTTCTTCAATGATCTACTTTTGATGATAATTGAACGGCCATATGGTGGCTCCAATTGTTCGATCGTCGGTGAAATCTTTCTGATAGTTGAGCACTGAAAAATACAGCGGTCTTCACGTTGGGACCAGTTGATTATATTATGTTTGCCAGGAATCTTGTTTCAGTGTGAAGTGTGGCAGCTTCCATGAAGGCCTACAAATGTCTACCCTACTATCTTCGCAGATGCATGCCTCTCTTAAAAATTGTTCTTTCTTCAATTTGACAAAATTCCGATTACTTTATATTTTGAATTGCTATTCCGTATTTTGCAGAGTCTTGCAGCGATCTCAGTTAATTACCTTCTTTTGATGCATCAAAGGTTTAGTTGAGTGTCATTTGCACTCCTTCCCATTATTAATCATCTTTATCGTAAAGCAGGGTTTTGTATATCGAGTGGAGAAGAGTTCCATCGTCTTAGCAGAGTTTGGAGATGATTTTCACTCCCAGCATCATTCAAGCAGCAGATACAACATCAGCTTTTCTTTCAATAGAGTTTGCTTGAAGAGAGCTCATCAAGCAGTCGAAGCTGCCACCGATCCTTCATTCCGCAACTTCCTTTTCCCAGCGTGTCCATCAGGACGTGATTTGTTTGCCTTGCCATCTCTCTTTTTTTCAAATGATGGGCTTAACTCGGAGCAAAGATCTGCAATCCATCAGATTCTAACTCTCAAAGGTTCAGCACCGTTTCTCATGGAGGGTCCTCTCTGTACAAACGGTCTACACCTGTCAAGGACCGGCGTAGTGGTTAGCGAAGCTGTGTCGCAATTATACCAACGCTCTAAAGATCCTCGGATTCTTGTGGCTGCACCTATAAACAAAACGTGCGATGTTCTGTTGAGAAACTTGAAGAAGGAAATCCCAGATTCTGAAATATTTCGAGCCAATGCTGCATTCCGTGAGATACATGTCGTGCCTGGTGACATTCTCACTTCGTGTCTTTATAAAGAGGAAAGCGAGTGTTTCACATGCCCTCAACTCGAGGAACTCCAACGATTCAAGGTAATATTCTCGACTTTTGTGAGTAGCTTCAGGCTACAAAATGAAGGCATCAAGGCAGGACACTTTAGTCATATTTTCCTCGTCGATGCATCGTCCACTTCCGAGCCAGAGGCAATGATTGTGCTAGCTAATTTGGCCAACAAGGATACTACTGTCATAGTCACCGGTGCGCAAGGAAATCGCTCAGGGTGGGTGCGATCCCCAATTGCTCGGGGGAATGGTCTCCGGATATCATACTTTGAGAGGCTCAAAGAATTTACACCGTACAAGAACCTCGACCCTGCATTCATCGCCCGACTGACCGCATAGCCACAATCAGATGAACTTAGCGTGGCCTCCTATTGAGTGTCAGTTGCTTTACAGGCAAGTGCTACCGACTTCAGAATGCCACTGATGTGCTCTGTGCACTCCCTCTCCGTGTTTGAGTTGCATGAACAAACCATCAAAATCGTGTATTTATCTATATGTGGATAACTCGTCCTCACTAGATTGGGCAAGTCTGTTGCTTGTAGTTAACTTGTCAAGTCCCTCTCACTTATATTTCGCAGCTTCTCCGATCGTAAGTTTGAGTTTCATGTAAAGTAACCAGTCAAGATAATGGGAGCATATCTATACGATATCCTGTTCTGTTTAGGTGTTTTGGCAGGCCCTCGAGTGCAGAAGTTGGTGAGATTTCAAGTCATTAAAAGCTGATGTTCGAGAAGCAATCCAAGGTATCCTAGCGTTTCCAAATCGAAGCTTTCGTCAGTTTGAATACTTTATAAATAAAATGGGCGTCGCTAGAAAAAATCAGCTCACCCTTATATCTCGTTAAGAGTTTAATCTTAATACCCCGAGATACGAATACGTGTTTTGTCTGTTGATGTCAATATTGATCCTTTTGAATCCTGAAACATTACCAACTCATTTATCAACACTCTCGTCGACACTCCACAACTGAACCAACACAAGCGACCATAGCACGAGGGTAGCACAACCAGAAGATCCTCGATGCGGGAGAGTTCAGAACTTCAAAAAGATTTGTCCCGGGTAAGTCGAAGTACTTCAGACTACATGGCGAAGAACGCTTTCAAAACCATCTTTGATGAGACTTTAGGATCATGATCAACGTTTTTAGTACTGAGAGTTGATACGGCAACGTTAAGAAAATTTAAATCAACGGCCCCTTTCTGTTCCTCTATCACTCATCTTGAGATAGGTTACCAGTATCAGCTCCGACACTCCCGTACTGAATTGGAGATCTAAACAACAGGGATAATAACCAGAAAATGCTAAAAGACCCCAAAAAAATTAAACAAATTCAGACGCAGCGTGAGCCATATAAACATTAACAGCTATATCCACATTAAGTCCTCTGCTTCAACCTTTTCTTTTACCTTGAATGAGTTCAATCGCAGTCCCTATGCACTAAAACTTTTGGATTAGGAAAGGGAATCACCTTTGACCACATACACCATGACTAGCATTACCAGATGCATGCTACATTGTCTGAGAAGCAGTTTTCCCGCAGCAAAATTCGGATTCGCTGATCTGCATAAATGAAATGTTGCCAATCGTGTCTAACTTGTCGGAGATAATTGCTTTAGTTTTGCCTGCAAGATTGCCCCAGCTTCATCTGCTATGCTTTTCTTTTTTGATGCCACCTGTGATGTCATTTTATGCAACGAAACAGTCAAAAAATGCTCAACAGAGAAAGTACATAAATGAATGAAACCAATTGACAAGTATTCCATCAAGCAGATACAATAAAAAGCATCATTCGCACTGATTAAATAAACCATTGTTCCCTTGCAATTTTGGCACAGGAGGCTCCTGCAAGGCATTTATGTGTATAAAAGCATAGGACATACGTGTACATGTAGACAGAACACACATGAAAGTACAAACAGGATGACCTTTGCTATAGAGCTGATATTTTCCCCCCTTCCCATAGGACACGCGACACAGCTGTTCTGAGCTCGTTATTGTTCTCTCTCACCAAAAGCATTCAGCCAAGCAAAATGGGCAAGAGCTGACAGAATAGATAGGTCCTCAAAGTATGCAAAAGTAGTTGCCAGGATCAAGATCCCAAACAGAAAAAGAAAAGGTAAAAGAAAAAACCATCACTGTAGTTGCTGATAAATTGCAATACATGCTAAACAGTGGTCCTCATGCATTGACACACTCATATTACATATCTACAATTTTATGTTTTTCATAGTAGACAATTGTCATAGGTAATAAAACTAGTCTTCACACTTATCACATATATTCTATTTTTGTTCTTAACCTCAACTTGCTTCCTCATTCTTTTTATTTCAGCGATGTGATGATTTTAGTGTGAAACAACTAGTATTTTCTGCTCCTCACGGAGGAAAACATACCGCACTATCGAGGTAAAAATAAGTTAGAAGTAAACTTCAAGTGTTCACTTATTCTAACTGTGTGAATTTCAAGCGAAGTGATTAACGTCAGCAAAAATTTGCCCCATCTGTGTCATGTTTATAATGTTTTCTTGTTGTCAGACTAGTCTTTAATTGTCTAATCTAAGTATTTACTTTTATATTGTATGAAAACTTTGTTTCTGGATCCTTCCAACTTACACATTGTATCTTCTGTGGTATTCAATTTAGAAACCAAAAAGAGAAGTTCTTAATAAGCAGATAACCGGCATAAATGTCCCCTGACAAATCGTTAAGCACCAGATCTTTGCTGAAGTTTCAGCTCAAACAAGTGAAAGGACTAGTGGGAAAAGGGGAAGGATTATCTACTCTACTGTATCAAGCACCTAAAACTTGCTCTTTTTCCCATCATAATTGATGTCAATTGCGAAATACCATCCGACCCTTTTCTATTTAGAGAATTAAGTGCCCAGTGCTCCACTGCTCTACATTGATCCCCTTTATTTTACGAGGAAAAGTCCACCACATCGATCATTTGATGTTGTTAGTAAATCAAGCGACTCCATTTTCAAAGTACTTAGCAAAAGAGCAAACATTTGCATTTGCGGCGGTGAAGAACAAATCCCGGGTGCTTTCCGCTCACTACTCTATAACTTGCAAAGGACAATACAAAGCCTAGTTCCACAGCAAAAATACACATTTTCCAAGCCCAACAACCATACGCATAGCACTTTAGGGTTCCCTTCGAGAAGGCTTCCAGCATAACATACCAACATGACAATGACAACGCCACAGAAGAAGGAAGCAATCACAGGGCAGCTCATATCACCCAACTTGCACGATATCTACGCATAATTCATTGACTCATCCATCGCACAGAATGCTTCAAATAAATGGCAAGAGCAGGAGATGCGCACCTCGATGAGCTGATCGAAATTAGACTTGAGCAGATTGATCTTGCGCTCGCAGTAATCCTTGCCTTCGGCCATCGTTTTCTAATCCACACACGCGCAGAACACAAGAACAAAGTCAAAACCAAAACACAAACCAATCGAAACCCAACCAACATCACCATAAAAAAGAAAAAAGCGAGGACGAAAAAAATAAAAAGAAAAAAAGAAAATTTGGGCCGGGGGGGAGGGGGACCTCGATGAAGTAGCCGGTGCCGACGTCGACGAGGACCTTGTCGGAGTCGTCGAGGGTGCCGGGGACGTAGAGGGAGGCGGTGAGGGGGACGAGCATGGGGTGTCCCTGGGGGCGGAGGGAGAGGTCGTGGAGGGCGGAGGAGGCGGACTCGAGGCGGGAGGTGGCGGAGCGGATGTTGTTGAGGCTGTCCTGGAGGAGGTTCACCTCCAGATCCGTCTGCTCCTTGATCGCCTTCACCTGCTCCACGCTCATCTTCTCCAACTCCATCGCCACTCCTCCCTTCGCCGCCGCCGCCATCATCTTCTCTTCTCTCTGTGCCTCCTTCTCCTTCTGCTTCTTCTCTCTGTGTCCTAGTCTCGACCCTCTGCTAGTAGATGAATCTCTATGTTTCCTACTTTGTTGAAATAATAATTATAAAATTATCATAGTAGATGGAACGAAACGAGCCCCTATAGCTCAGTGGTAGAGCGTCAGTCTTGTAAACTGAAGGTCTGTAGTTCGATCCTGCATGGGGGCAATCTCTTTCCCTTTTCTCACCTAATTTCACTCTTTTCTTTTCTCTTCTACTTTGATATCATTACTCTTTACCGTTTTCTCTGTGTATGTATGCGTGTATTTTTTTTTCTTTTTGCAAAACAGTTTTCCTTTTCATTTTACTATCTCTTGCAAGGATTTTTTTTTTTGCACATCCGAATTAAGCATTTGATCACAGAGTTGTCGTCGTCGGCACGGATGAAATTTGATAGATTAGATTGCAATTGAAATACAAAGGCTGGCTCCCCCAGCTTACAGAAGTACAGCTCCAAAAGCATCTGCCCCTAGAATAGAACTTTTTCTATAGAAACACTTTGACATTACAGCAAGCTCAAAGACCTTGAACTTTCAAAAGAGTACACCAAGGCAGCATTAGAAGATGGGATGGAACTCAAGCTAGTCAGGACTCGCTGGGAAGCACGTTGTAGAAGTGATAAATCTCCTCTTCATCCATTACACCGACCTCCGTAGAGCAGATGGAACAGCAGACGTGCTTGAGGGTTTCTCCGCCGGCAGGGTGAGCATCGGGTGTAGCAGATGCTCTCCCTCTTTTTTGGCTTTTTGGGTGCGCATTGCTTGGCGGGTGAGCCTTCTCTTTCGTAACCTCGCAATTCATGACGAAGATTGCTCTGTATTGGGTGACATACTTTTCATGCCTACAAAAAACCAGAATGAGTTCAGTTTCAATTCCAAACCCGCATTAACCATCAGTGCGAGAAAACGGAAGACTCTCAAACATTAGATCATGTTCCACGTGCATCAAGCATTAACTAGATTTCAGATAATTGAGTTTACATCATTAAACAATCACTTAAATCACGGCAAGTATCAGAAAGGGAAATAAAATGTTATAAATGGTGAATTTATAAGATACTCTTGATGAAAGAGTATTACGGAAGACAATTTTCTATCAGAAAAACGCAACATGGCAAACAGCATCAACTCTACAGTGGCTCAAAAAAAACAGTGAGTTAAGTATAAAAACATCTCCCATGAGAGGTTACTCCCGCATTGTGCTACACTGTCTATGAGTCTTCAGGAGAATTTGCTAGTTTTTTTGTCCCAAAGTCGCAGAAATGAAGAATAGGCAAGTTGCAGGCATAAAGTAAAGCAGTGCTACCGGTCTGCGAGTTTTACCGTTCTGAGGAAACCTAAACACAACCAAAGCTTCACCAAACATGAGTAGGCATTCCACATGAACCCTCAGGCTAAAGACTCGTTTATATGAGCTACCTCTTTCTCAGGGAAAAGTAGATAGTTTGGAGCAGATGTTCCCAGTGAGACTATTGATTATTGAACTTTTCTTTTTCATAATGGAGAAGAGAGACAGCAAAGGTCGATACCTTTATTTCCTCTCGAAACCATGTAATAAAGGAGTTGAACCTGATAAGAGTTTAGACGCTCCTAAAAGTCGCCCGAGATTGTTGCCGAAAATGCAACATGTGACCTATGAATATTTGCCATGACTGCCTAAAACCATCACAACTTAACATGCCTGTTTGCGAAAGAATACCATTATAAACCCGCCAGGATTGATTCCTTAACTTACGAGTACAAATGAAATCCCCAACTTTCTCTTGCCCCTTTGGGAGGAAAAATTCCCAAAGAGCTAGAGAGACAGGAAGGGAAGGATCAAGTGGGAAAGCAACCTCCAAAACCATAAGCCAATATCTGTGTAAGTGTAAATACTTTTGTGTGGATTTACCCGAGTGAGTGCACGCGTGCGCATGCACATACTTCATGCCACATATTCATTCACGTAACATTCATACATTCCTCGAGTTGTATAGACATTGCAATCCTAACGAACCTTTGACACTCCAGGCAGAGTGTAGTGAAACAAGCAGGGCAGCTCAGCACAGCGTCGGTCGCACGCCCTTTACGCTTCTTCTCGATCCATAGCTCATCTTTATCGTCTAGATCCGGATCATAAAACTCGGGTTTGACTGAGTAGTCTATTTCATCGTCATCAGAAACTGTAAAAATCGAGAGACAGAAGAGAAAAATCCTGGTTAGAGTACACCATCAACTTTAATTGTAAAGGAAGTACAAACAAACGCCACACCACGCGAAATGAAAATCCTGTCACCCTCCCTGAAAATGTTTTTTGAACATCAACAGTAGCCCAAACACAACCATCAAACACATGATCATCAAGTCCAGTGCACTCTGAGCCGTGTAAAGCATCGAATACAGAAAACTAGCGGACAAATGCACAAAGATAAGCCTAAGCCGATGACGAAGAAGACCCATGTAAAGCAAGACAACATAGCCACGACCATTATTGAAGGAAGAAGGGGCGGAGTATAGCGCTGATCAAGTGAACCCACGATGCATCAGCACCCGCGAATCTCGATCAATCAAGACCTCACCCACCAAAACAACCTGCAAGAACGGAGCTACTTTCTTGCAAATCCCCCAAAAACATTCAAGGTGAACCCGCAAATAAAATCGAGCATGCCATGCGATGTGCTTTGTCTATGCAGTGCCGTGCAGGGAAGAGAGGGTTCGAGGGTTTCGGGGGGAGAAGGAATTACTGGTCTGCTGCGAATTGGTGGGGGACTCGCCCGCGTCTCTCTTGCCACCTCCTTCCATCTCTCTTTCCGCCTTCTTCGAAGCGCTCTCCGTTTCGCGTTGCGCGGGGACCAGTGAGAGCTGTGTCTCCGCGCACGAACGGAGAAGGTATTTTGCCCGACCGCAAAGTGTCGTGACACATACGATGTAATCGGAGGTGATTGTCGGGCGGGCCAGGGCCGGACCAGAAAATTGGGCGGGCCGAGCTTTCTCGTATGAAGCCTTTGCCCACCAAGCCCTTCCATTTAGATCTCGAGCATTGATCATCTTTATGTGCAATCGATCAATGGAAGGTGCATATACCACATGGGCGGCAAGTAAATTGAAAATTCATAAAATGCGAGCGATTGTGATTGATCGGTTACACTATCTTAACACTCTCGCGCCATGTATCCACTCTTGAAAGCCGTGTGTCCGCACGTGAAATATCTGTCTCGTGTGATTGGAAAATGTGGGAAGGTGCTCGGCATAAATGCTTTTGAAAAAGTGCAAACATACAAGATCCTCCTTTTTCCTTCTTTCCCCCTTCTGCCTGCATTTTCGAAAATTACAGTGAAAAGGCGAGCGGCTATGAAGGTTTGATCGATGCGCAAATATCAAATCTCGTTTACTTTTTACATGTCATTCTAAGCGTAAAAATGTCTGTAGATACCATTCGAATCGAATGCTTGATTTTATTTATTAGTATCTGATGCACCCGGCACGGCTCCCTCCCGCCTATTCGCGACAATAGCATAGTTCAACAAATTTAAGAATGTCGAGTCGAGTCCCCAATAAAAGTCATTTTGAAATTATCAGAAAAAAGGGATGCCAGAAGGAGGCTCTCATCCTAGGATTTTCATGACACTTGATCCTCCCAAGTCTTGGAGCATGCATCCCATCATATTTTTCGCAAACAAATCAGGTCAGATCATCCGGATCGACATCAAAATAGTGGCTCCTCAAATCCATACGCGGCATGCGACATGCCCTTCAGACCGAGAAATTTCGGATTTAATCTCACACTGCAAAACAATTGCTTCTGCTAAACACGATCCGGGTATGTTGCCTCGCGACAAATCGGTATGCAAAACCCAGAAAAAGGATTCAACCCCCACAATTGTTTTCGATACATGGCATCAGATAAATTCACTCACAACTAAAGGAGAATCCCACAACATAACTACAGCCAAACCTCACCAGAGCAGTAAACTTATCGAGCATCTCTGATATATGACCAATCCTGAGACCAGATCAATTTCCTCAACTTCCAGAATCAAACAAAATAACTCTCACAATCATGTATTACTCGTCTGGCTCTATATACATTCTCTTTGGGTAATAACTATCAGTTTCATACTTGAAACAAAAGCGAATGGTAGCTCACAGTTTAGTGAGAGCAGAAATGCCAAGGTAGAGAGACTAACATTAGAGAACACAGCTTGTAAACACGCTGAACTGAAATGGCACCTTTTTGCTCGACACCTAACAGGATGCCAACTACCAAACAGCTGAACCATTTACAACATAGCAGACGAATAACATAAAGTCTACTCCTATCCCACGACGTAGAGAATGACACAATATTTTTCCCATAGTAATGTAAATTCAAGTCTAGACCTATCACAAAATCGAAATGCATAGAGACGCAAGAAACAGTAACTTAGAGATATAGCCACCTTAAAAGAAAGATATCTCTCACCAGCCTGTTATTGGATACGAAAGAGATCAAAAAATTACTACACCCACCTTTTGCACAACAGACATCCTACGGACCCAATATTTTGAAGTGTCAGAACAAGCAACAAACTAACAGTTTGCGTGTGAAGGAATTGTTCCATGCCAAAGAACAAATATGCACATCATTTTTCAACAAAGAGACTCCCGCAATGGACTACTTTTTACATTTTCACATGATGGTAGTATGGTGATGATAAGGATGCTCAAAGTACCATCATAAGCTGGCCCAACAGAAAGAAACTAAACTAATATCCAGAAGAATATTCAGCCACTGTCCTTCCAATTCGAGGCACATCTCTTCAATTCCTAAGAAAGTACTGAGTCCCCCGCAAAAAATGAGAAAATAAAAGAAAAAGAAAGACTAGAAATGATCGAGGGATTGAGAAAGCCACCAGTCCTGTAGTCACCCGAAATAAAGAAATATTTCAACAATGTCAAGACATATCTATCCACGTCATGATCCCAACTCTCAACCGCCTGACGGGATCAGCAAATAAATTGCCTCAATAACTGCTTCATTGGTAAGATGGGATATCTTTACTGCTAACCTTTAAAAGAGCCCAGGAATAAGATTTAACTAGCCAATCAGTTCGTAATAGTTGGACAAACCACTTGACAGTCCCAAACAAAATGGCACATGAGCAGGAACCCGGAAAATCATGGACAAAAGGAAAGACAGACATATCTATGAATTTATGAAGGATCTACAACCTTTAATGTGATAAATGATCCATTCTATGCAGTTTTCACTTAAAGGATAATCCAATTACTGGCAATAGGAATTTGCAACCTAGCCTTTTTTTATTCAACCATGAAATCTTTTCCGATCAAGCTGAGAAGCCCCTCATTTAACAGCTATTACCTTATCAAGATTTTTTCTTTTTGGCTCCTCTTGCAAGAAGCTGCTTGTATGATCTAATGGATGTGCTTTAACCTATATCATGCAGTATATGAACCATCTCCAATCAGATAGCAAGGAGCCACTGCTCTACCAATATCTTCAATAACTCATCTAGCGTCTTGAGAGAGCATCTGATGTGGCGGAGGAATTTTGTCAGACGGCAAGATAAACTAAGAAAAACAAATGGTAAACAGAGTAACCAGATAAATGCATTGATGATTCATTTCAGCAAATAACAGCATCTTTGAGCTAACAAAGAGGTCACTCATAGAACCAACAAAAGGAGATACTCAGTATCAATGATCAAAAACTCATCAAGAAGTGATCGCTACAGGTTAGAAGAACACCAGAGACCAATCAAAGCAAAAATTACAGAGATATGTACCTTATAAAAGAAGTACATAAGCAAGTGTACGAACAAACCACCAAAGTAAGTAAGAGAAAAAAATCCAACAGTATATGTATAGCAAGAAGAAAGACAGAGCATTAACAATCTTTCAATTACAATCTTCCTCAAACAATTCACCTGAAGCCTCCCACATTTCACATCACTCACCACCTGAACCCGAGTTCGATCCGTCGTTACCCCTGAAAGGCAACGTTATGCTAAAACTCCTCTGAAATGACCTGTTCTCCCCTCTTCCACTGCTGGTGCCGCTGCTGCCTCCTTGCGCGTTCCCCTGGGCCGCGTCTCTCCGGTTCTCGTAATTAGGATCGTCGGTCGGCAATTCGTGCCGGCAAACAGGGCAAGAGTTATGCAACTCGAGCCACGGCAGGAGGCAATCCGCATGATAGATATGCTTGCAAGGCATTTGCTTGACCTCCATATCCTTCTCAAAATCGTCCTGGCAGACTGCGCACTGGTTCATCTCGGAATTCTGCAGCTCCTCCGTGACTTTGATGGTCGGGAGGTTCTCAACCGCCGACTTTGATGCGGGCGGAGTCCCATGGCGGTTCGGGTCGTTCTCCGCCAGCTGCTGGATGAGCTGCTCCAAACCCGGGCCCATGAAGTAGTCGTCAATATTGGCCGGAAGTCGAAACCCGCCGCCTCCGCGGCCCTCCGAGGGACTATTCTCGACCACGAACTGAATTTGCGCTCCGCTGGACTGCAGATCCTGGAGGTGGTTCATCAAGAAGGCGAACGGGTCGAACAGATTTTCGGATCCACCGGAAGGGGAGGACGAGGGGATCGAGAAGAGGCCGGGGTTCTGGAGGTCGAAGGTGGCGGCGGGGGCCGCCGTGGCGGTGGTGTGAGTGGCGGCGGAGGTTGGGAACAGCAGAGGGAGGAAGGAGGAGAAAGGATCGGGGAAGAAAGGAGGGCTCCGGCTCCGGGGTGGGCTAGGGTTTTCGCACTCCTCGAGGAAGCCTTCGTGGCAGCGAGGGCAGAGGGGCTCGGCGGAGGGGGAGACGGCGATGGCGACGGTCTCGCTGCACCGGTGGCAGAAGAACCATTTCCGTCCGGGATCCCCGCCGGGGGCGGCGAAATCGCCACGGGAAGTGAACGACATGGCTGCGCCGGGAAATGGGTTCCTCAATTCCGAGCGAGCGAGGAGAAATCCGCGCTCGGATCTCGTACGCGCATATCGAATCCCGCGGAGAGCCGTGCTTTGACCGGAGTTCGTGCAGCGGCGATGGAGTCTTCTGGACGCTCCGGCGAGGCGAGTTCGCCGATTCGAGGGTCGCTTGGGGCAGTGAAGAAGAAGAAAGGAAGAAAAATAATACGAAAGTCAATCGATTGACTTCGTCAACGAGATTAAAAACTGTTTATACACGTTTGGTATGGACTTTTTTTTCCCTTTAGCTGCCCCGTTGCATAGAGTTTCGAAGCTCGGGTTAATACCACGAAAAATTCAAATTTATATATTTATAATTAAAATTTTTGAATTGATATATTTGTGATAAATATATCCCCGTTAAATTAGATTAATACTACGAAAAATTATAAACCGATACACCTATGACAAATGAAGAGTAAAATCCCAAACTGGTACACCCGTCAACTATCACATATCATCCTACTAAGAAATTTGATGGCAAAATTTAACGTAAGCCAACGGAGGGTAAAATTGTCACAGGTGTACCACTTTGGAATTTTTTGTAATCAAAAAATTAATTTTAAATAAATTTATCATGAGTATATCGATTTGGGATTTTTCGTGATATTAACCCTCAAAGCTTTTATGCATTTTGTTCCTTCAACTTTTATTTTATGCAATCAAGTTGTATGTGGATTTGTTCGACTTTGGTCCTCTAAGTTTTATTTGGAGAAATCAAATCTTCTAACTTTCTTAAATAATGCAATCTAAGTGCTTTGTTTATCCACCTTACAATCAAATTAGGATTTCTTTCTTCTCATTTTTCCAATTTTGTTTTCCGCTCGTTTGATGCCGAACTAACATCGCTTGTCATTTTTTACCACGTAAGTAATGTCGTGTCAAATTTACTCGACGGTTTAAGTAGAGTGGTTAATCGAAATATTTGTTCGCAACAAATTGAAAAAAGTCTGACTACTTGATTCACAAAATAAAATAAGGCTCCGTTTGTTTCGTAGAAAAATGAACGATTTGGAAAATATATTACATTCCTAATAATGATCGCTTGTATCGTTTGAAATAAATAATTAATAGAAAATTTTTCATATCAACAATAATTTATGTTTAAATATTTTCGTGAACAATGAAAATATTTTTCATTTATTCATTTCGTAAGCGATACGAAAAATCATTATTCCATATAATTCATTTTTCGCAAAATAAATAGAGTCTTAGAGGATGAAATTACACAAATTCAGAAAAAAATTTAGAAGACCAGATCGCGTAAACTAGAGGTTCCCACCTTAGAAACGAGAACCCCATACGAAGGACCGATTCCACTACTTGGGGATCGGGAATCGTCCATTAGGTTCTATGGAACCACTCGAGAACTGAACTCCAGTCCCTAGTTGGGAAGAAGCTACGGCGACGGTCTAGGCGTAAGGGCGGTGGCCTGAGCAGTGACCGGATGTGCAAGTGGAAATGTCATCAAAAGCCTAAAGAACAACAATCACGATGAAGGAAAATTCAATGAGCCGTTGGGCCCAACCGAACTCGCCAGAAAAGTTGGGCTGCGACTTGAAATACGGGGCGGGGACGGCTCCGGAAACTTGCGGGCGCGGCAGTGATGCGAGCAAGGCGCGGCTTTGGCTAAGAACGTGTGAGAATGGCTCTAGAGATTTGCTGAGTGCGTAGGGATCGCCGGAGAAGGTGAATTAGCGACAGGGGAGTGAGGGGCCAGAGTGACCTAGTAGATGGCATTGGCGGACGGAGAGTTGAAGCAACGGAACTCCAAGAGGGATGCTGAAACAGTGCTGGTAAACACATAAGGGTGCGTTTGGTAACGCTTCTGTTTCTCTATTTTTCTATTCTTCTTTCCCTGGAACAAAAAAAGAACAGAAATCCGTTTGGTAACGCATTTTATTTTTCTATTTCCTAGAATAAAAAAGTGGCCAAGAAATAGATTTGGAGCAGAAATAAGAAGTAGAAAAATCTACTTCTTTGTTCCTAGAAATAGAAAGGTCCGGTCCTCAAGCCGCGACCTCCGCTCCTCCTCCATCCTCTGTCGTCTGCAAACCGTCTCAAAGCACCGGTCTGGTCCATTCTCGGCGGAAATAATAAAAAAATTAATTAAACTATAAAAAATTAAAAAATTCCAAAAATTCATAAAAATCAGAAAAATTCTCAGAAAATCCATAAAAATCAGAAAAACTCAGAAAACCCATAAAAATTTGCAAAATTCCGAAATTGAAAAAAATTAAAAAAATTCATAAAAAGCTTTCTGGAAAATAAAAAGAGACAAATTTCGGGAAAGTAAAAAGTTTTAATAAAATTTTCCCCAAAAAAAACAAAAATAAAAAATTCACATAATGGCTTAGAATAAATTAAAAAAATTCCGAAAATTCATAAAAATTAGAAAAATTTCAGAAAAATCCCATAAAAAATTAGAAAATTAAAAAATTCCCAAAATTCATATAAATCAGAAAAATTCTCAGAAAATCCATAAAAATCAGAAAAACTCAGAAAACCCTTAAATATTTGCAAAATTCCGAAATTGAAAAAATTAAAAAAATTTGATAAAAAATTTTCGGAAAAATAAAAAGAAACAGATTTAGGGAAAGTAAAAAATTTTAATAAATTTTACCCTAAAAAAATATTAAAAAATTCACATAATGGCTTAGAATACCCGTGGCCATCCACTTTGAGTGAAATTTAAATTTTTTAGGTGCCCAAGTGGTATTTTTGAAAATTCCTTAGTTTAGGGATTAAAAGGGGTTTTAAACCCCTAAAAAGGATTAGACAAACCAATAAAATCATGCTTATTGGTTTTTTTCACTTATAACTTGTACTTATAGTTAAATAAAAGATATAGATTTGAATGCAAAAAATTGGGAATAGAAATTTTGTGCAGTTACCAAACGCATTTCTGTTCTTTTTCTATTTCAGGAATAGAAATTTTGTTCAGTTATCAAACACATTTCTGTTCTAGAAATAGAAATTTTGTGCAGTTACCAAACGCATTATTTTGCTCAGAAACTCTTCTAGGAAATAGAAATAGAAAAAACTATTTCTGAAAAGAAATTGTTCCCAGAAATAGAAACGTTACCATACGCACTCTAAGTAACCAAAAGAGAAAGGCTTTGTCTGCTCACTGAGGAAAAGAGAGTCACAGCGCTCTTTGTATTGTGTAGTGTGTATGTCTCTGTCGTGTGTCTATGTGTTTATGGTTTTTTCTCTATATTTTAAAAATATACAAGTATGTTTACCGGTCCAGGTGGTTCGAATGGGCGATTTCATGCTTGGAACCAGAATTCGAACCGATCCCCATGAGAATTATCTAGAACCGATCGGTCTGGTCCGGGCCATTCCCGGTACTTTAGCCACCTTTAGTGTAAACCCCCGAAGAGAAAATTGTTAAGAGGACCAAATCGCATAAACGTTGAAAGTTAAAGAAGACTAAAATCTATACTTCGAATTCTATTGATTGGAGGGAGCAGGCTCCTATCACGTGCCCATCGCGTGACGCACGTTCGAAGAAAGAAGTGGCTGGAAATGGATGGACGGAGAGACGATGATGGATCATCCCCAGTCATGGATATCTCTGCACCAGTTTTTGAGCCACGAGCCGGTGATTCTCTCTCTCTCTCTCTCTACCGCTCTCCCTCCCTCCGCTGAAGCGAATCCGCCATGGACGGAGCCACGCTCGTGTCGAGCTCCGGCTCGCTCTTCCCCCCGTCGCTCCCTCCGGCCCGTCGCGCGGCCGCCGCGAGCGCCCGCCGCTTCGCTCCCCCGCCGAGGTCCTCGTTCCGGACGTGGCGGGGCAGGACCGGGCTCGTGCCGGAGCGTGAGCTCGGGCGGAGTTGCTGCGGCGCCGCCGTCGGCGCCGGCGGCGGCGGCATTACGGAGATAGACGAGAGCCAGTTCTCCGAGACGGTGTTGAAGAGCGATCGTCCGGTGCTCGTGGAGTTCGTCGCCAACTGGTGCGGCCCCTGCCGCTTGATCTCTCCGGCCATGGAGTGGCTCGCTCAGGTCTTCAAATCCTCTCCGATCACCTCTCTCTCTCTCTCCCCCGCGATTCGATTTCGCAGTTCTTGGATTTCTCTCGGCTTCATTTTGATTGGATTGCAATACTTATGTGCGTCTGTGTATGTTCAGTATCGAGCATTTGACGTTAGCAGTCGGTTTTAAGCTTTTAGATTGATTGGCATTTGTTTCGCATGATGTTTTTCATGGAATGAGAGCCAGAGGTCCTCTGTCCTAAGTCCCCTCTCAACTTGTGTTTCCGTCCCGAATGAATTTCCGTCAGGCTATGTTAAGATTGCAAGGGGAATGTTGGAGCATGTTCAACTCAACTGGTGTAAGCTTTTCAGATTAATGAGAGGGTTCCTAGTGATAGTGCAGACGCCATTAAGCATATAACATAGAGGCCGCCCGGAAGATCGAATGACTTCCATTCTCATCTTGTCCCTTTGTTGATTTGGGGTCGCAATCTCCTCAGCTTGAGTTTAAGCTAGTCTTTTGATGATGAATTGATGATGCAAGAGAAGTGACCTGAGAATTTAGGTCCCCTTTTGACTATTAAGGTAGCTCCAAATTTTCCGTTGCTCTCTTTTCCTAATTGTTCTCCCGTTGTCCTTCTTTTCACTTTGTACCGTCTTCTCTTAGCTATGGCTAAGCAGTTTTTACTTTCTTCTTGTTTTCATATGGATGTTGAAGACCATAATTGGACATTATAATTTGAGATGTAAAAGTTAGTTCTTGTTATTAGTAAACTGTCATGGTTGTGTTCCTTCTAATTTATTGGGAGGTGGTGGCTTGAAGCTGTATTCCTTTAACCTTCTAGTGTGATCTTTGGCCAATTCATTAGGAGCTAATTCCTGCACACTGTGTCAAGTTTTCACTTCTATCATTCATGTAAAATCAGATACTCCCATATAAGCCAGCTTTTGGAAAAATGTTTCCCGCTTCTTTTCATAAAATTTAGCCTCCTCTTACCCTCCAGATTTCACCTACTTGAATTCTTCATGAACAAGTCACCTCTGTTGTTTTGCTTAATTGCACCAAATTGGCAGTCTCCATCGAGTGGAAACCTTGTCAAATTGTTGCTGGCAAGGTGAGAGAAGAATAGTGAGAGAAATGCAGGGTGAGTTGATATTACCTAGGTTTTAAGACGTTCAAGCTGTTAGGTGTTGTTTTATGTGAATACTTTCCCTCGGAAAAGTCGGTTAACATCACCGAGAGATTTCTGTTTTCTGTTGATGTACTGTTTTGTGGCAATTACTTATAAAATGGTAAAACAAAGATACTAATACATGACATGTATCCTAATGTGATTGTTCAGGTTAGGATTGTTCTGATGGGTAACTTGATATTCAGGAGTCCCTTTGATTTTCTTTGTTATATTGTAAGCTGGACTTTGTTGGTTCAGATTAATTACTAGGCATACACATGATGAAACACCAATTCCTGCAATTTCTCTATGTCATCCACTTGTTTGCATGAAGCCTTTTCAGCCTAGTCTTTGAGCATGTTTGGGATCTATAGATAATCATGAACTTGAGTTTGTTTGGAAGTCATTGTCAGTGGGTCGATTACTGTCAACTTCTAAGGAAAGATGAGCCTTTACCTGCACAATAGTGCTACAACAAGTAGTTTTAGAAGGAATAATGATATATCTTAAAACATGATGTGTTGGCAGATTTAAAGCATGCTAAAAACTTATGCCGGCTGGCTGTCATTGTGTTAGATTGTTTCTATGTTTGACAACTGTAGCATGCCACTTTCTTTCTTTTTTTATTGATTTTAGCGTGCCACTTTTTTCTATCAACTGAGCATGCCACTATGTTTATATGATTTATATTCTTGGGAATCTTTAAGGCTCTTACCTATGATATTTCGACAAGAACGTGCTTTTCCAATTTCTGAGGCACTTCACATTCTGAAGGAATACAAAGATAGATTGATCGTCGTAAAGATTGATCATGATGCAAACCCGAAGCTAATAGAAGAGTACAAAGTTTATGGATTGCCAGCACTGATTCTCTTCAAGAATGGGAAAGAAGTTCCAGAAAGCAGAAGGGAAGGTGCAATTACGAAGGTGAAGCTGAAGGAGTATCTAGATTCTTTTCTAGATTCAATATCGGTTGCATAACGACATTTGGATTTTCTCATACGACAAGCCGACTGCCTTATCCTTGTGCGTCTTTACCCAAGCAAGTTTCTTCCTTCTACCGGTCAATTCTGGAAATGGAGTTTCGTAAAAATCTGCAGTCTCTTGCATTCATTTTGTTCTGTTTGCAAGCCAAGATGATCACATCGTGTTTTTTTGAAGTCAATGTGGCTGCTGATCCAGGGCTGAGGGCTTTTTTTTGCTTCTTCTTTTGTGCTGTGCAGTAAACAAAACTCTTTGCTAGCTTCTTGTAACCTGATAATAATTTAAGTTATCGCAAATAAAAAATGTTGTTCAAATGTAACATAGTTACTATTCCAGCATTCTTGTACTGCTGGCACAATAGAGGTGTCGGGCTGTATACTGCATTTGATTTTTGGTCATCAATATGTCTGCAGATATTAAGACTTAAGAGTGAGTTTATGGCTCTCTCATGCAACGGTGTCCTGCCTAGACGATGCAGAAGTTAATTAATCGCCAGAGGCAGTTCTGCTAACATTTGTGACATTCTTTGTGCTAACGTCTCTAATCTACCATTTCGCCACTTCTTGAAGCCTAAGTGGAATTTAGCATAAATTTTTACTTTTTCCAGCCAAGATCATGCCGTCGTGGTAATCAATTTGAGAGATGAAAGATTACTGTTGGTATACGTATCACAGGAAGCTCTTCTCAGGGGCTTCTTTTCTGATACATGGGCTGGCATATCTTCTTGTCAATTTGCTGTTCTTAGAGGAATGGCATCTGTAACTGTAAGTGTGTATAAATTCTAATGAAGGAGCTGCTTTAATTTTATGTTTATATATACAATTGCATACACTTCTCCATTCTTAACATGAATTGTGCTTTTTTAGCCTAATCCTAAAGATTATTCCTTTGTATAATTCTTCAGAAAAAGCGGAAGTTATAGAACTCTGGCTGTATCACATGATTGCAAAAACCTGTTAACTGTCTCCTGCATCTCATCTTTAGTGCCTTATTAGTTGCTGTAATTATTACTATTTCTTGTCTGGTCGATGCAATTGATTAGTTGTTCGTGGTCCATTTTTCCCAGAAGCAAACCAGGGGCTTCGACTACTGTGATTTGTAAAACCGTAAACGATACACCGTCGCCTTCTCCGTTAGAGATGCTTCAAACTGTAGCTCAGTTCCTCGTTTGACATTGAACTTGTTGACTGCGAGTTGTTGTTCAGTCTCATTGCCTTGCGCCGATACCTAAACCACCATACTGGTGGCCCTGAGTTTGTGAACCTAATCTTGGTTTATATATCAGGAGAACACTTGCTTAGGAGACCCTTATTTTTTTAAGTACATGGTACTTATATCCGCTCTAAATCAACTCACCACATCATTTTACTGGAAAATAAGAAAGAGAAAGGACTTAAATCGAGACAAGTAGAGGCAATTCTTTTGCTTTCAGCATAACATGTGCAGATGATTTACCAAAGAATAAGATGTACACATGTTTTTGCAGAGAAAACATAATCAAATAAATCGCCCTTCCAATTTGTGTTGCCTTCTTTGAATGATAGAAACCAGTAAGTTCTTTGTGCTACTATCTGCAAAAATGTCTATTTCTCAGGGGTCCTCACCTATGAGGGCCTCGTCGGGGATGTACTTTCCCCAGAACCAATGCGCCTTCCACACTCTGTTCATCTCTTCGATCGGCACGTTCTTCGTCTCCGGCAAGAAGAAGAATATGAAGATGGTCATGGCGATCACGAAGCCCGCAAAGAAGAAGAAGAGGCCGAACTTCATTTGGCAGAGCATAGAGAGGAACCCCTGAGCGATGATGAAGGTGAATAACATGTTGACCGAGACGTTGATCGCTTGGCCAGCCGACCGGATCTCCAACGGGCAGATCTCGCTTGGCACCAACCACCCCAGCGGACCCCACGACCACGCGAATGCCGCTACGTATAAGCAGATCAATGCCAAGAGCAGATTGGCTTCGACTTTGGAAAAGGATCCTTCACCGGCGACTCCGAAGTTTGCGCCAATCAGTGCTCCTACCGCAATCTGTAATGTGGACATCCATTAGCAGGTGCAATCACTAACGGTAACCAACTTCGTTGCGATTGTGATTCACTACGCGATGGGATTACTTTCCGTCTTCACTATGCGTTACTATGGCCATTGCAAAACTATCCGAATTTGTCGATAATGTGATTCTCTTCTTTAAATTTCAGATGAAGAATATGGATCTTTTCGAGTTATCCAAAACCATTAGCAGAAAAGGAAACTAAGGAATGACTTCGAAGGTGGGTCTTCTGCTGTAAGTACTATGTTGGCATCTGATTATTCCGGATTTTCTTAATCAAATCCAATTTGAAGGACCAAAATTTCTCGTTGATTTTTGCTTATACTCAGGTTAAAACTTAAAGCCCCCGATATTAGCTTGCACATGTTTTAGTTTTACCTGGCAAATTATCATCTGGATTCCTCCTTCGAGGAACAAGCCTCTCCTTCCAAGCTTGTCAACCGAGAATATCGAAACCAACGTTGCGACGACGTTCACAACGCCGCTGATGGCTGAAGATATGAGGGCAGCGTCGTCACCGAAACCCAAAGTCTTGAACAGAACGGGTGCGTAAAACATGATGACATTGATGCCAGTGAACTGCTGGAAGAACGGGACGAGGAAGCAGATCACGAGCTGAGGCCTGTACCTCGGCTCGAATATGTTCCTCCAGGGATGCTGGACCTTACTCGCGGCCTCACTGGCTCGGACTAGGTCCTGGAACTCGTGGTCCACATGCTCGGTCCCGCGGACCTTCTGAAGCATTCTCTTGGCCTCCTCGCGGTGGCCTCTTTCGATGATGGAGTTAGGAGTGTCCGGCAGGAAGATGGATCCGAGGGTCATCAGTATCGCGGGGACGGCGGCTAGAGCCAGAGAGACTCTCCAGCCCCATCCTCCCTTGATCTGTGCAGTCCCGTAGTTGACGAAATTGGCCACCAGGATGCCGATTGTGATGGCCATTTGGAAGCCGATGTTGAGCGCTCCTCTGATCTTCGGTGGCGCCATTTCAGACAGATAGACCGGAACCGACTGCGATGGTAACCAAAAAGCAAGACTTTAATTTGCAGCTTAAAACAATGCACGAGAATGAGCAGCATAGCAGCCGAGTTTTACCTGATTAGCAAATCCAACCCCGACACCGAGCAATAAACGGCCAATTATCAGCACTGTGATGTTCATAGCGATGCCGTTGAGGATTGCACCGATGAGAAAGGCCAGGCCTCCCAAGAACATGGAGATCTTTCGGCCATAGACCCTGGTGACCTTCGATGCGGCGAAGGAAGCCACAAGGGCCGCAAGGTAGAGAGATGAGGTGAACAGGGTCAGCAAATGGTTGTCGTACTTGCAGTACTGGCTCTCGTGGACCGACCCGTCTTTCGTTCTGTGGTACACTGATGGGAAGAATTTGAGCAAGAAATCGTCCATTGAAGTAACCCCACCTGCAAAAACAAGTAAAACGGTTCATCTACATTCATTGCAAAAGCAAGACGAATCACGTAATAGCATGATCATCTGCTTCTGACGATTCATAACTGAAAAAAATTTGTTCGTTCGAGATGCGCGCGCATAATTTAGAAAGTCGACTGTCTCAAAGCTTGAACTGTGAGCTAATGAGTGACCGACCTGAGATACCGAGGTCATAACCAAACAGGAGACCGCCCATGGCCGCAACAACGCAGGTGACGACCACGAAAGCCGTGATGCCACCTTCATAGTTCGCACCCAGTCCTTGAGCTGCAAAATTTCCCCCTACTGCCATCTCTCCCAACCTTAATGTGGATTAATATTCGGTATCGAACCGCCCTCCAGTTTTTCAATGGTATGGTACTCGAGTTCTCGATTCACACCACCAAAAACCCGGCAAAGGAAAGACCCTGAAAAGTTCGATAGCTTATATCGAACTAGAGTCTGATTGAGCTTTATATAGAGATTTCGAAAGGCCCTTTTTTGGATCTATGATGAAGACAGGTTTATGTCCTAACAACCATGTTGCAAATATAGAAAAGACCCGAGGGTCTGTTGCCTTGAAGTGACGTGTCTTCTTGAAAGATTAACGTTTGAGAGCAAAGAGAGATATAGCTTGTACATGCTGGCAGGGCATTGGTCTCCTTCTTTATTTGGCGAAACACTTTTTTATCTCTTTGCATTGCCAAAGGATATGTACTGGAAATTCTGATAAGTTCTCCAATCTAAATTGCTGGATAATTGGCATTATCTATTCGTGCTAATCCTGATTTTTGTTTTTTGTTGTTTCAATTTTGCGTCCTTATCCACTTACTTTTAGAGCGTTTCTGATCTGTTTATTGTTAATTACAGGTGATTCTCGTACTTTGGGCAGAACTGGACAATGTGTTACACATTCAAATAGAGATTACATACAAATTTTTATAATCATATTTGATTTTATAAAAAATGCTTAAATGTGTATATATTTTCAGCATAATTGCACCCCCTAACTTCCCAAAGAAATATTTCCATAAATCCAATACGACTTTGATCAGAGAAACCCCAACACTAACATTTTTCTATATTACGCTTCCGGTAAATATTCTAGGATCTTAGGGAGCGAGATAGAAAATTTCACAAAATTTATATCTTCATGTATTAAAATTGAGGGACATTCATCGCTTGCGAAGTAATCTAATCTAACCATCCATCGTAACGAAGTATCAAATAATATTCTTAATATCTAATAATATCTCTAATCTAATAATTTTTTTCTCTAATAACTATAGATATACTGAACAAATATTCTTAAGCCCTAAACCCTTTCCCTCCCTGTAGAGTTACGCCACTCTCCATTGTTTCATTCTCTCTAAACTTTCCATAAGAATTTTCTTGGTGCGTCGCTTAATCAATGCATCATCGATGTCAGAGGGACATGCTAGGTTTTATCTACTAAAATTCTACAAAATAGGGATGATCGGTTACAGGGTGGGTCGATCCTACCCTAGAATCAGGAAGTGGACCGAAAGGATCAATTCCCAATTCCAGGAGCCGAGAACCGCTCACCTGGTTGTGGAATCGAACCGGACTGACCAATTCGGTCTAGTTTCGGGTGGGTTTAAGAACCGACGATGATATCTTTCTTTTTTCTTTTCCTACGCAAAATCGTTTGTTAACTCATTTGTTAGTCAGCACACTCTAATTATGTAACACTGCCATAAATAGAAACAAACCTCCTCCCTGTAAGATTTTGTGGGATTAGTGTTAATTGTTCTAAAAACTTAAACTATTAGATGAAGTTTCTCCATTTTGCTTAGTCTGGTCTTTTTTTACCTAGTACTGAGCGTGGACCTAATACTAAGTGTGGACATATTAATTGGGGAGGCAAATAGGGTTTGGATAGATTTGAACTTAGAAACTCCTACTATGATATCATGTAAGATTTTGTGGGATCACTATCAACTGTTTAAAAAAAACTTAAGCTATTAGACAAATGCGTAGTTTAATATTTAATTATTCGAACACTCTTAACTTTCTCCCCCTTCCTTCTTTGCTGACCAGCAACAATGCACTCTAGGATTCCTAATCTCCATTGGAATTTCTGCACTTAGAAAATTATGGGAAAATGTGCATGACAGAACAAACACTGAATGAGAGAGGCACGTCACCGCGTGAGACTAAAAATGAGAAGTGAGAGGCGTGAGACCGAGTGAGCAGAGGGACCGAGGGAGGCATTGCGTGACCGCGTGAGACTGAGAGCGAGAAGCGAGAGGCGTGAGACTGAGCGAGAGCCGAGGGGGATGAGTGGCGAGAGAGAATGGGAAAATTAGGGTTTTAAGAAATATTTTGTAATAATAAAAATTATATAAAAAAACTATCGGTCCAATTTGAGCGGTCCGGGTGGGTAGAACCGAGAATCGGAGCAATAATCACCGATTCCAAATTTTACGGATAAATGTACTGGAAGCCCTAAAATTTCTCACGAAAGTGCACTTTGAGTCCTAAAACTTTCAGAAAGTGCAATCAAGTTCTAAAACTTGTCGCGAAAGTGCAAATAAATCCTAAAACTTTCAAAAAGTTCAATGGATCCCTAAAATTTATCAAGTTAGTGCAATCAAGTCCTTCTATTAACTTCGTCCAATTTAACAAACGGAAAATGGTAACAAGTTTTATGATTTGATTGCATTTTTTGAAATTTTTATGACTCAATTGTACTTTCATGAGTTTTAGGACTTTTGGTGCACTTATCCCAAAATTTTAATAATTGGGAACCGCTCAAAACCAGCTGGTTCGGTCAGGTTCGGACTAGTTCCCACGAGAATTGCCTAGAACTGGTCGATTCGGTCCACTCACCCCTTCTCTGAAGGCCAAGTCTTCAAGGTCGGGATGGCTATCGCCTTGTGATGTGGCCATGACCTTGCAATCATGATTCATGAGCCAACTCGTAGAGAAGGCCATCGGGGTCATCTCGTTGCGGAGGACCAACAGGGTAAGCCTAAAGAAGCTGCTCGAATGGATCAAGAAGCACATGCCCGCGTACAAAGCCGCCGTCCGCCCGGACATGCTTCGGACGTGGGAAGATGAGAATGTCGACCCAGACCGCGTCCCCACCCACCTTCTCATGGGCACGAGCTACTTGGGGATCGATGAATTGAGCAATTGGCCGTGCTACCGGACGGCAGATGCGGCAATAGCCTCTGTAGGGAAGTCGGCGGAGGAAATGAGGAGACAGCTTCTCGCACGAATAAGGTAAGGAAATCCGTAAAGAGAGGAGGCATTGTTGTCCTTATGTCTTCTATATTTATGTGGGTCTTTGTTGTTACCTTCTCTCCAATAGTTTGATAAATTGATATAGTCGGGTATTCCTCGTGATACAGCACTCTATGTCTATGACGTGCTTATTGAAGGGTTATGCACGAACGCTAAAAAGAGCAGGTGAAGGAGAGAGTTTCCATGTCTGCAATAGGGGAACTATCCAATCTTGAAAAATGCGATAATCCAAATGGGGCAAAGATGCCGGTTCCTCTTCAAGCATTATAAGATCTCGTAGAGTCGGGAAGCATTCTGTCAAGTATTCTTTTGGACAGTGGAATATAGAGTGAATTGATGCTAACTCTGCATCCGGTGTTATGAAATTTTTTGAGAATATTGTCTCCATACCCAATTGGAAATATGCTCCGAATGCAGGAGCCAAGTCCAATCCTACTCCTTCAGCAGCAGCAGCAGCAGATGGCCTTGATTCTTGCTCAGATTACATCGATAACATTTCCGTTTGTTGGGATTTCTTACCCCGCCGCAATGCATCATTATTCACTCTCCTTTATTTGGCGTGTAGCGTGACTGTCACGTCCCAAATCCTACAAGAAAAAAGGAGATGCCATGCCAAAGGCCGCAAGCCTCAAACATAACCAACATTATCCTATTGCCTGAATATATATCTCTATTTAAATATCCAATAGAACAATGATCTGGTTACAGAATCAGAGTTTTAAAATCCATCAACAATATATATTTTCCCAAACTAAGAAACTAAATCTCAACAGGTATTATTTTAGACATATCCAACTAACTCGATTCATAAGTTTTCTGTTGATATCGTTTTCTCGTACTATTCGTCAGAACTTGAAAAAGATTAGAATGAATGGGGTAAGCAACCACAACTCAGTGAATAGTACATCTCTTTTAAGCAGATCGAACATTCACTATGCATTTTTATAAAACGATATCATAACTCATCAATTCCATATCTAGTTTACAAATATTTAAAATATCAAACATGAGCTATGTGGTTTAACAACAAAACTTTTTACATATCAAATCAACAATAACAAATGCATAAATGGTCTATTCTATTGATTAATCTCTCTTAAATCAAATGTCAATGGTCAATTCCCTTGACTAATCTAATTTTCAATATTTAACTATGGTCACACTTAATGCATGATATTTTTACAAGAACGTGCCTTTCCAAATCTCCGAGGCACTCTTTTTAATCATTTTGAAAGAATACAAAGAAAGATTGTATGTTGTAATAATTGATCATGATGCAAACCCGAGTTCATAGAAGAGTACAAAGTTTACGGATTGCCAACACCGATTCTCTTCAAGAATGGGAAAGAAGGTGAAGCTAAAGGAGTACCTAGATTCTTTGCTAGATTCAATATTAGTTGCATAACGTGGATTTTCTCATGCAACAAGCCGACTGCCTCATCTTTGTACGTCTTTACTCGAGCAAGTTTCTTCCTTCTACAAGTCAATTCTTGAAATGGAGTTTGGTATAAATCTGCAGTCTCATGCATTCACTTTGTGCTGTTTGCAAGCCAAGATGATCACATCCTGATTTTTTTTAAGTCAATGGGGCTGCTGATCAAGAGCTGCGGGCTTTGGTTTGCCGCTTCTTTTGCGCTCAGCAGTAGATAGAACTCTTTGCTAGCTTCTTCTAACATAATAACATTTTCAAATAAATATGGTGTTGACATGTAAATAGTTACTATTCCAGCATTCTTGTACTGCTGGCACAGTAGAGGAGCCAGGCTGTATACTGCATTCGAGTTTTGGTCATCAATATATCTGCAGATATTAAGACTTAAGAGTAGTTTTATGGCTGTCTCTCTCTCTCTCTCTCATGCGACGGTGTCCGACCTAATTGATTAAGAAGTCAATTGATTGCCAAAGGCAGTTCTGCTTACATTTGTGGCATTCTTTGTGCTAACGTCTCTAGTTCTACAGTTTCGACATGTCCTTGAAGCCTAAGTGGAATTTAGCATCAATTTTTACTTTTTCCAGCTAAGACCAAGCCGTGGTAACCAATTTGAGAGAGGAAAAATTACAGTTTAAGTATCACAGGAAGCTCTTATCAGGGGCTTCTTATTTTCTGATACATCGGCTAGCGTATCTTCTTGTTATTT